ATCATCATCATTCAAATTTGATATCATTTTTTGGTCGACCAAATTTTGAAAATCTTTTCTACATTGTGAGAACTTTTCATAGTCCTCAGCTAGGCATGATCTTTTAGATTTGACTCGTAGTTTTTCTTTTTTGAGACACAGCTGATAAGTGTCAGAGTCAAACCAGGGTGGCTGATCCTTATCTGATATCGTAATAGTTGGGATTCGGTTGTGTATGTGATGGAACAGGATTTTCTTAAAACGGAACCATCCTGTTTCTGCATCACAGTTAAGGTGATCATCCCATCTAACTGATTTCAGATCATTGTTCAGGCCGATCCAGTCTGCTTTTTTGTAATTTAAGATTTTTCGTTTGGTGACCTTCTTTCTAAACTTCATTTTAGCACTAAAAGTTATTCCAAAGTGATCTGAGGAGCATATCTCATTTTTCCCCAGGACCGCCAAATTTTCAACAACACTTATCATATTACAGAAGAGAAGATCGAGGACCTTCCCTTTATCATGAGTGGCTTGGTTTATCATTTGTGTTAAGCCTAGGTCATTAAACAGATCTATAAAACGGCCACCAAGAAGTGTGGGGGACACACCGTCTGACCAGTTAACTTCAGGTAGATTGAAGTCCCCAACTACAAAGTGGGCCTTAAACTTTTTCCGTCCTACCACATTTCTGAGGTGTTTCTCAATTTCATTAAAATTATTTTCACCAAGGGTGCCAACTCTATAGCAGGCAGTTATGCAGTAGCATGAGTTGTTTGATTTTAGGCTGACTGAGATCATTTCAGCCCTAGAGCTGACATCAATCTTGTCATTTTCAATACTGATGCCAGTCTTGACTGCAATAAGGACTCCGCCCCCCTTCCTTCGAAACTTATTTGGGTTATCAGGATCCGGGGGGTGGGATCTTTTGGATCTATCCTTCCGATATATCTTGTAGATGCTATCAGGGAGGATCTCATTTTCCAGGTGCTCTTTTGAAAGCCAAGTCTCAGTCAGAACGATAACATCAGGCTTGTCTTCATAGATCTTAGATTGGAGCTCTAGTAGTTTACCAGCATCAAGCGGCATGTTTTTAGATGCTAGGCCACTAAAGGGGACAAGCCCTCTCAAATTTTGGTACATTACCTTTAGATGACTGAGGTTATTGTTATCAACTGGACCTGGGTTAAGTATGCTTGTATTGCAGATAACAAGCAAAACTAAGTTCAGAATGGTCGTCCAGATGGTGAACATGTTACTTAGGAACTGATGTCCACTACACTTAGCGGAAGAGTAACGTCTGGGACAACCATACTTCACTATCCATAGGGCTATTCCATTTTGTTTCTTTGAATAGATGATCATTAGGACTACAAGATTTGCACTGTTCATAAGGCAGTCCCAGTCATTGGTCAGGTGTAGTCCGATCTTGTACGAGCGATGCATACGAAATGTTTGGTCTGAGTATTCACTTGCTGTTTCAATGGCCCCCGCCAATAACAGACAGATCATATACACATATACAACAATCACTACTCCATAAATCATCTTTAAAATAGCACTTTTCTCTATAGTGGTAATTGAATCTATATTTAATTTAGCATTGCATTTGACTTTGGGAGAGTATAGACCAATCACTGTTCTGTGTTGTAAAAACGTGACTCCCATAAATTAGTTTAAAACTCAAAGTTAAAATGGAGACTGGAAAATATGTACTGAATTATACTCTGTTAAAGAAGCAAGAAGTTAATGAATTAAAATATTGTCAATTAATAAATATGGGAACAGATATGAGAGCATTGTTAAGCTATAATGTTCGTTAAAAATGAAAGAGTTCTCTGAATTCTATAAGTTGAACATGTTACAAGATGACTACCTAGGTTGGTTAGCAACGCCAATAAGAACTTTGGCTAACACACTGGTTCCAACAGGATTAAGATGGATACCATCCCTGTTAAACATATTAAAATCTAAAAGCCACATAGTAGGTGTCTTCTTTAGGAAAAAAGAGAAAAAGTCAACAAATCTTATACTTTCTTTCTTACACATCTCACTTAATAGGTCATTAAACTTATGCATATTTCTAATATGTGTAAGATAACTTGCCTTTCTAGGGACAAGTGAAAAGAAATTAATCTTAGCTGCAGGAAATACCTGTTTTGTTAGGATTATAAGGTCATTAATGTCTTCAAATATGCGTTTTATGTCAGAGTCTACAATCAAATTTTCAACATCATTTCCCCCGACTTGAAGGAACACAGTGGAAACATTAGATGTATTAAATTGCTTGGCACACTTTTCAACTTCGTTATAAATGTCACAAGCGTGTGCTCCAGACCGGGAGATAACTTTAAAAATTTTTCCACGCCTGGAAAGTGTTTCAGTTTTCAAGCTCTTGAGGAGGGAGCTGCCAAACACAAAGGTATCAGGGTATTTGGCATCTTTGGAGGTGCTGGTTGCAGGGGAGGTATTCGGTTCTGCAGAGGAGGGGAGGAGGATGGGGGAGGAGGATGGGGGAGGAGAATGGATAGCAGGAGGGGCTTCTTTAGGTGGGAGCAGACGTCGGAAGGTGACACTGTAACGGACTCCCCTTTCTTTCTGTACATCTTTGTCTCCAGCAAGTATTTCATGGTAAAAAGATTGCTGGAAACCAGGCAACATCGTGAATATGCTCCCGGGAGTAAGAGTAAGGTACTTGACGGATTTCTTTTTGTCAAGGGAAATGTTCATTTTCCGAGTTGCACCAATCGAGAGTGTTGATATTGGTGCACCTGGATCGAGGCCTGCTTCATCATCCTTGTGGGGAGGAAGGCAACACACATATGAGCTGTACTTGTTAACTAACATGGAGTTATACTCTGTTCCTAGTGTTAAGTTAACAGTCTTCAGTTAACAAAACAAAAATTAAATGTATTACCAATTATTCAATCAATACATATGATAAACATATATTACTATAAATTTGTTGTAGCTAATAATCTAATAGTTCAAGTTGAATTTTAGTTAAGTATGAAATGCCATCACATCATAGCTAGGGTAAAAGATTATTCTTAAATTATAAAATTGAGATGATTGATCGATAACTTCAAATTGGAATCCGTGATTGAAGGTTAAATGAGGAGGAGCCCAGCCAAAGCCCAAAAGATCTAGAATCTTGTTAGGGTGCCCTTCAGTGCACACACATTTCAGTGCACTGTAAAGAATAGTAATTTAACTATTCATGTACAATGTGCCGCACAGTTATAATTGTCCACCTGAAGGCGTTACAAAGGGCCCCGCTGACCCCGCTGTGAGGGGGGGGGGGGGGGGGGGGGGGCGCCAAATCGTCGTTTGAATGTGGGACAATTTTGAAAACTTAACTAAAGTACTTGCAAAACTGCACGTTTTGCTCTAGATACACACTTTTTTAGAGATTTTTCCAGCGTATCCTCTAAAATCACCCAATTTGTTCAATTTTAGGGAGGGGCAGCAAAAGAGGAAAGGGCGCCAACAGGAGGCGCTTTTTCGGCGGGGGGGGGGGGGGGGGGGGCGCCAACAGGCAACCTTACGCCACTGGGACAGTTAATAATTCGTTAAATTATTAGCTATTTTAGATATATAATAATTTAATGTAGCACACTTCTGTACGGTAGTGCATTTGTTACAACCCTCCTGTGTGTGCCATTCAACATTTCAACATTCTTTATGTTGAAACCAGTGGCGTAACGTTGCCCTCCTAAAAAGCGCCCTCCTTTTAGCGCCCTTCCCTAAAATTAGACAAATTAGGTGATTTTAGAGGATACGCCGGCAAAATCTTTAAAATGTTTCTAAAGCAAAATGCGCAGTTTTGCTAGTACTGCAGTTAAGTTTTTCAAAATTGTCCAACATTCAAACAATGAATTGGTGTCCCCTTAAGATGGCGCCCCCCCCCCCCCCCTGCACTGCACAGCAGGGCCCTTCACTACGCTACTGGTTGGAACTACCTCACTTTACTTGCAGTAGTAGGTATCAACTAAATGAACAAATTATGAAATTATACATTCAATCAAATCAATTGATGCAATTGGTATTGCACAATACACATTACACAGGAAACGGAAATGGTCTATTTTACCAATATTATTTGAAATCTCAATGATATGTTCAATGTTCATTTTTTTCTCAAAACAAAATCAAGTGCTGCTATGTAGGTGTAATACTGAGAATAATGTGAACATTCATATGATTTCCAAGATGGAATGACAGCTTCTCTCCTGACCCCTCAAACATGAGGACAGCTCCTCATACTTCATAGCTTTGAAGCTGTCACTTAGTGCTCTCATAATTCAATTCTGTAACACTTGTCACTTCTCAGTTTCAGGGAGCTAAAGTCACTGACTAATAGTTACTCATAGGAATTTTAGAGTAGTCATGTGGATCGGAGTATCACTAACCACTTGAGGTGATCAATTTAAAGGCAGACATAGTTTTGGATTAAAAAATAAAAACTAGGAAGACGTCACACTAATATTTAACATTGTAATATCTTGTTTATTTGTGATGTATGGTAGTTTAAGTGCAATTTTGATTTGCAGGCTTTTTTTTATGTTGAAGCCTTTTTTCTGTGTAACGTATATAATGATCCTGCTATTTATTCTCTTGATTAAATTGATTACATTTGTTCGGACGTTGAAGCCGCCCTAAGTCGAGTGATTAGCCATTGCAATTCAGACATCTCAAGTCTGTTAGCCGTCAATAATCTGTCAGTTACAGTCTGTTAGCAGTTTGTACGGTCACATCTTCTATGATCAGTGATAATAAACTATTATATTGGAGCTGATAAATATAAGCTTTTAATTGTTAAACATAGCCCTGCCATGTACTTTTTATAATTTGACATGAACAGAATGTATCTATGAATCTCACATTCTCACGTGACACGTTACATGATATTCAGTAGTTCAGTAATAATTAAGATGCTAAAATCATTCCTGGTGTAACTCAAATTAATTGTTTTTGTGTTTTCCTCCATGTACTATTGTGATCTAAACTCTAAACTCAATACTGTGTTCCAAGGAATTATGACGTAACGAAAGCTGAGACACTCGCAGAACGGAAGTAACAGTACAAAGCAGCATGTGAGATGAGATATGTGACATGATATGCAACCTAACACCATTACTGGGACATTCCTTGTAAAGAATATTTTCTTATCTTCAAGGTACTGCAATCTCACAAGAAGCAAATTTGCTTTGACTTGGGTGGACACATACTATTGTGTTTAGAATTATAACGTTGTTTAATTCCCATTTATGTCACGTTTTGATTAAGTAATTGCTACACTGTATCACAACATTCATTGTACACATTATCCTCGTTGTACTCGTTGTATTATCGGTCACCTGATATGAGTAGAGCTGTTCAATGAGGTCACAAGTATAATGATTAGCCTTTCATGTTATCATAATATTGAGTTCGGGTAGTTACGCTGTCTTATGTATTAAGACTGACCTTGTTTTTATCGTTGTTAACTCTTAAAGTTTGCCTCTTAAAGTCTGTTTTTAGTTAAATTTCTGCATCACTTGATATGATTTGTATCGGAGTTTATATCTCAGTGCTCTTTATATCTCGTGCTCGTATTAATACGGTTAAAACCGTATAACGAGCACAACATTAAGGAGCATAACATTGTAGTTAAACGTATAAATAGTAAATACGTTTAACTACAATGCATGAGGCAGAGCCGAAATGTTTCTTTTTAAAGTAGATTTGTTTCACATTTCACATTATTTCAGCCAGTGATGATGGAAGACAGTGACACACAACCCCTGGTAAGTTCATTATTGTAGTGGCAAGTTTTAGTAAATACTGTGTTCGATTCTCACTATAACTGGAGTGTCGTGAATAATGAACTTGACAGATAATTTCAGCTAAATTAGATTATTCCTGTATAAATAGTGTGTTGATTGGTTGGTAATTGGTCGACGTAAGTAATGTTAATAATTGGTTGTGACAAATTGATTGTGACTAATTGATTGTGACTAATTGATTGTGACTAATTGATTGCCCTGATTAAGTTGACAGAAGAGATAGAGGAGACTGAACCTCTTTTAGACAGCCAGGACAATCTAATAACATCCCTCTCATCGGTATGAGATATTTTTATAGCATCATTTCAATTAATATAATTTAATCAATTATTGCAGGGTGGCCTACAACTGAAAGTTTCGTAAAATTTCGTTCATTACAGTAGGCATGGCATGCCACTCCCTCTTTTTCACTATTTTTGTCTTAAAATGAGAAAATGTTGAGCTAGAAATTCAAAATTTCCGGGATACTTTAGGTTAGATAATTTTAAGCTTATTAGTACAGCCGATTACAATTTCAATAACGGGAAATGGTCGGGAAAGGTCCCAGGAATCATGTGACAGGGTGCTAGGATACCATGATTGCGATTTCTGCACGATTCCTATAGTGGGGATCTAGTGCCGACCCAATCACCTGATTCAACGTAATGCTCCCGTTTTTTAGGACAAGTGTATTCTGAAGGCCTTAGGCCTACCGACGCGATAGTTGCGCCCGTTTCCCACACCAGAACACGCCATTAACAGGTTCCCAATCAGTGACGTTGCGCCCAAGTGCACGTAAAGTTCGACTCCCAAAAGCGCACTTAAATATTTAAGTGTGAACTTAAATCATGCAACTTAAGTAAAAATTCCTACTTAAGACTCAGTTCGTGGATGACAAACGAAGAGGTGTACATAAATTTGTACTTAAGTCATTTTTGATACACCATAAACTGTTCGTGGAAGACACCCACTACCCAGGATGCTACATCTAAGCTCTGGCATAAAGCCAACTTGTCACTTGTGTAATTAACATTGGGTTAAGGCCAGAGGGGGGGGTAAGGGGTCAAAAACATCGACCAAAATATTATTTTCTAAATCAATATAATTTTTGATGACAAAAACATTGCTGCTATTCACATATTTGTAGCTGCTTAACTTATTTTAATAATTGAGGTTAACCGATTTTCACAAAATTGACTATACAACATTGAGGTTAATAAAATTGAGGTTAATATTTTATTACACTCCATAATTTTTTGTTATTTCGGTCAGCAAATGTTAACTCTAAATTTTAGGTTCATAATTATCAGAAAAAGTAATATCCAAACGTGATTAAATGAGGTTAACCTCTTTTTTTAGATATAGCGAGAATAGATCAAATGATAGAGCTATTATTTTCATCGTTAGTTTACGGTATACACATTTCTAAATAGATGACGTGTTGATTGACTTTCTTTCATCTTGGTTAAATGAAAAAATGAGGTTAACCATCAAATTTTGGTACCGTAGGGAATATACATACGATTCTTACTTATGTAATGTACCACAATATCGCAGTGAGGTATCTATTGGTATCACAATGCCTACAACTATAATCACGTGACAAAGGTGATTTGAACTGACCATATTTTAGTAGAAGATTTTATCCGTAAATGGCTAAAAAATGAGGTTAACCTCTTATTTTTTGAATATCTGACCAGTCAAATACATGTTAACCTCAAAAACTTAATCGTTACATTGTGGAAATGTTTTACTACATATATAATAACATATTAATAAACCAATCTTAGTATTATATGGTCTAAAGCGAGGTTAACAACCAATTTTTTACTACTTTTAAGCAGTAAGTGTTTACAGGAAGTCTTGGTTAACCTCATTTTTTACAATACAAGGACATTAAATACTGAAAGTGGCTAAAATCATTGAGGGGATGGCTAGGTCTGATCAAGCAAACGTTGTTAAGTGTATAGAAAGTCCTAACTAACGAACTGTGATACATTCCAGTGAATATTCAACATTTTGAAAAGACTAAGTTGCATCTATCTCAAAACACATTTTGTGACTTTCAGTTCCTTAGTTGAGAAAACCAGCCGCCCCCTGATATTGAGATTTGGTACAGTGGTTCCTTGGACAACTATCTAGACATTAGATGCAGCGATTTTTTTTATTTGACTCGGTTCTCGAATTATGAGGTTAACCAGCTAAATTTTCCGAATTTTTGACATGGTTAACCTCATAATTCGATAACCGAGTCAAATAAAAAAAATCGCTGCATCATAAATGAGGATAATTGTCCAAGGAACCACTGTACCAAACCTAAAGATCAGGGAGTGGCCGGTTTTCTCAACTAAGGAATCGAAAGGTCAAAAAAGTTACAGCCGTTTAAAGATCCAGTTTAACATGTAATTACAGGTAAACCTCAAAATTTAGCGCGCGATATCTCAGGAACGCAAGGTCAGATTTTGATCCGGTTTTTTTCTTCTTGTTCGTCTCCAGCAGCTATTATCAAATATGTGAAAACTAGAAAAGTGCCATTTACCCCCCCCCTCTGGCCTTAAGGGAGTAAAATTAAAAATTAAATAAATCTACAAAATCTAAAAATAAAGTTCGGACGAATGCTGTATTACAGTCCGCCCTGAAGAATAAAAGAATGCATTATATAATATATTCAATAGTTCATCGCATATTATCCTCGATAACTCACTTTGCGAAGGGTGAAGATAATGATAAACGTCGGTCGTTGATCCCGTCCTATCTGTACCATTCTTCGTAGCTTTGCGTCTATCGTTATGATTGTACGATTTTTGATTGAATAAAGTTTACTTTTATTATAATTGGGGGGATTTCAATAACGATTGGGCGCAACTGTCGTATCTGTTCAAGCAGTTTTTTAATTGGTTTTCATTCGTCATCTTCCCATGGTAGCTAGATCTAGATTGGGCGCAACTGTCTGGCAGCCATTCTAAAAGAGGAAACTTAACGCATTACAATTTGACTTGATCTAATAATCAAAATATCTAAAATTCATGCCAGAAAGAATTACTTAGATCGGGCACTATGTGTATACTGTACTATAGATTACTTACTATACATTTTACTATTATTGCATATTAGTTGACAGCTACTTAGTACTTACATAGAATCTGCACGCGTACAGTATCTGGCACACGATGTGTTCTTCTGTTGTCAAAATATCAACTATTTCGAGTGATTTCAGTCCTCGATTCTTGGCAGATTCAACTTGTTTACGAAGCGAAATCAACATATAAAGCAAAAGCTGAAGCTTACGCTTCCAATTGTACGAGCAAAACGATAAACTGACAATCAGAGATAAGATCGCAGGTTTCAGTTCTCTAGTAAGCGATTGAAAAATTGCTAATTATGTCTGACAAAGTCTTAAATTGCTAAATTGGGACAGCGTAATCACGCGGTACTCAGAGTAATATTTTCGTAGATTGAATTGATTCACCCTGATCGCTCATTCACTTTGTTGTTAAACTATCAGCTCCTGCCTCCTATGCGAGGGCAGTATAAAAGTCTAGTTTAACACAATATGGTAACTCCTCTCTTTTTACTGTATACAATGGACTCACATTGGCCTGTATACAATATACATCCCCGCGTAGTGAGAAATATTTCTCTACAGTGTTGAACATTATTTGAGTTGTAATACTTTGGAAAAATTTAATAAGTTGGTCGTTTTTTATAGGTTCCCAGTTCCAGCCTGTGAAAATCATGTTATTTGATAAATTACATCTTGCTGAAAGATTGGGCCAATTATTCCTGTGTCCGATATGGCACACCAAATCATAACCTTTTCCTTGGAATTTACCATGGGAACACTTGCATGAGGGTTTTCAAGTCCCCGTATCCTGGTGTTTTGGCTATTTACATATCCACTTAAGTAGAAATTTAGTTAAGTCATTAACTGATTCGTCATGCTTGAAAAATAATTCAACGATTCGTTTTCTTCAATCCTTGTCAGCAACCACCACAGAAGAATTTTTCACTCAAAATAACAAAATGTATACCACCAAATGAAACATTGTTATAATACCTTCCGGGAATTATATCCACTAAAAGACTCGGACACTGAGAGCTGATAATTTGCACATTTTTCCCGCAAGGGAAGCGAAGGTATTATCAGCATAGACCTCAGACTGGCTGGCGCACAGTGGTCCGCGAAGGGGGGTCAGGCTATAATAGACCCCTTCTAGGTCATTTTGTTGTCTCAGGAGATGTTTCCTGGAGTATTTTCGCCCAAAAAGACGTTTAAAAGCACTTAGAAGACCTCAAAATATACCAGAAGGGCTGAAAATGAGAAATCAAAAAATTGATTTTTTCCAAAAATACCCTGAAAATTTTAGAATTTGGCCGCCAAATTTGTTTAAAAGGCCTGACTCAAAATTCTACTCCACAACTTAAGGTCCTCAGGCAATTGAACGTTGATTCTGAAAATTTCATTAAAAAATATTGAAACCCCATAGAGTTATATTATTTTGAGCGACATCAGTTTTGCAAATATCGCGAACTGAGATATGGGCAATTTTGTCCATTTTTTGCCATTATTTGAACACAGAATCCACAGTTAGGTAGATATTGAGCTGATATTCATAGAGAATGTGCAGTATAGACTTACCTAACATATAAAATTTGTCTCATCCAAAAATATTGATAATTGGCCAAATTATGGGCTAAAATCTATAAAAATCTATCAAAATTGGTGCGTATGCCCAAATATGGTCATTATATAGTATTTTGCTCATAACTCAGCCAATTTTTATCAAATTTTGATAAAACTTTATATTTGTGTTCAGGAGACTAAAAGCTACAAGTAAAGCACCCCAAAGCATGGTTTTGAGCTTATTAAGGTGATTTTGCATAATTGGGATAATTGGGATCAAATATGGGCGTGGCTGATTTTAAAAAAAGTCCCAGGTTGTCCCAGGTTGAATTTTTTATGGCTAGTTAGATAATTATCTGAACTTTAGGATGCCATAGGTGCACTCGAGCGCACTACCTAACATTTTTTATTTTAAAACCAAAATTTTAGTTAAAAAGTGGGTCTAAAATTTGAGGGTAAATGAAAAATCAACCAAAATAGATATCAACATGAATTTTTTTTCATTAGACAGGTATTCAACACGTACAACAGCAACAACAAGAGTAAGTAAATGCAAATATAGACTGCTTTATGAATATCCAGTCAGATGTAGGCCAATTTTTACTGCCAATTGCTTGAATTTCGGACTGTGTAAAAAAATCGTTGATATTATCGTAAATCATTTCCACATTTTGAAAGATTTTTAATTATCGTCTTCAGCATATGTACCGGCTGATAATTTATGATAAATAACAAATAAATAAACAGAATTTCATGATACTCGATTTTGGTTAAATTATAGCCTGGTGTGGCGGCAAGTATTAAAACAAATAACACTGGCGTTCTATATATTAGACACTATATTGTATCATGCGCACGTATCGGATTACACCCCTTCCAATCGGAACCGGAAAATATTATAAAACCCAAGCCTCCATGGCCTGGCGACTGTCCAACTGCTCGTACAGAAACAAGTTAAAACCGTTGCGCAAAACAAGGCTGTCTGAATTCTGATTCGATGTCTTTAGTTTCCTGCAGAGCTAAAAAATCTGTTGGCCGAAATGTTTTAAATAAATTGTGGTAGCGGGCTAAAGATAATAACGCTGTGCTGTAAATGTATTATAACTATAATCTTTTTTCAATTCTACAAATTCGAGTCCACGTACTTTTTCATTTCAGCGTTTCTTTTTTACCATACTTCACAGTCTAATTAAAAGTTTACGTTTTTGGGGCCCTTACTTTGAAAATATTTTTAGTTGGGGGACGATTTATTTTTTTTTTTCTAGTTTTAGTAGCAGGTAACAGGTAATTCAAAACTCGATTGTGGTGTATTGAACTATTTCTCGATTTAATGATTGACAAATGAAGTTTTTAATACTTTTAAGTAAGTTAGTCTGAATTGTGTGTGGTTACTTCAGGGAGCACTTCAGGGAGCACTTCAGGGAGCACAATAAATAAAACCTAATAGAAATTTGTCACCTTTTGTTGCAAAACATACCAAGAGCTCTAAAGGGTATATTTAGAGGGTATATTTTCCTGTCGTCATCCAGTCTACTAGATACTTCCAATATACTAGAATTATTATTATTAATTCACACATTTAGGATTTTTAAATTTTTCACAGCTCCTTATCTCTAACTAATGGTTACATTCCAGAAGGCCATAGTATTTTCTAAACAATGAAATCGCCTACTTACTACACAGATCCTCTTACACTGCCACTAAATTGCCGTGGTTACCACGTTACCGTGGCCGTGGTTTAATGTAATTATTACCCGCCACATGGCAATTCTCAAAATGCATCCACTAACGTCCATATCAAAATCTTTCGCGTTAAGTTATTGTCTTCTTCGTTATTTTTTAGTGCGGTTAGGTGGTTTGTTCAAATATGTTTGACGATGTGAACAATGAGAAGGATGTAGATGCCAACAATGTAAGATCTCGTCTGTAATCATAACAAATAGTTCTGTTTTTTTAAACTGTCTAATTGGCCTCCGAGATAAATTTATTACTGTTTATATATCGTGTACTGTGCTCTATTGTATATGATTATATGTTATGCTTATTTTGATATCAGCAGCTAACCTCTATCTTTCTTAATCCTGCTGCTACTGCTGTAACCTGTCGCAGTAATTTGATTGTTTAACTCCGTTATCACTTATCTTTCACTGGATCTCCAGACGATTTATCATTGATACCAACAGGTCGGACAGCCCAAAGTATGGACCTGTACTTTGCTTGTTGCTATCTCGGTCGCCGTCATTGGATCATCTCTTCAGTTCGGCTTCCAGACTGGTAATTTTAAACTTTGATTCCTGTACTGGTAATTCAGTAACGCCACATTATTATTCGAAGCATTCAATCATTGATCAGTATCTAATTCTGCATTTATTAATATGTTGGTACTTTATTTTGTAATTAACTTTCATGATTTATAAAACTAACCATTAATTTTGTAACAAATTTTCTTATTGACCCTCAGGATGTATGGCAAATACTCAGGGTACACTGAGGGATCATTTCAAAGACGTATCTGATACCTTCATGTCACTCATAATAAGTGGGGTTCCAATCGGGGGTTTGTTCGGGGGTTTATCAGCTGGCATCATCGCAGGTATGTATGGAATGAATCATGCCATTAAATCATTCATTCGTGACTCATTCGTGACTAAACTCATTAATCTTTAATGAAACTTAATCTATTTGTGATAAAATTATATTTGATTTGAATCTTCTGCAAAGGAAAAAAATGTGGCATACATAACTTATGTTGTTCAGTACATACTTAATAATATTTTATCAGTTACCACTAGTCACTACAATATAAATGAATTTCACCACCCTAAACTTTCCTCAGATAAAGTGGGTAGAAAGAAGTGTATGATGCTAAACAATGTGCCCGTACTGATAGGCACAGTCCTCATGTCTGTAGCTTGGAACAAATACTTCTTTCTGATTGGACGGATATTTATTGGCTTTGGTTGCGGTTAGTTCAGATTTAGTTTTTTAACGTAGATCAATTTTAAATTATAAAAATGACAAATAAGGTCTAAACATTCCGCAGTAATTAATGTTCTTCACCAGTCAAGAATATGCATGACCGTCCCTGAGATTATTCAAGATTGTTCTACGAGCATCAACAATCTAGAACAGTCTATAACAAAAACTCTCACCACCCAAAGTAATTCTAGGAATGAAAGCGGAAGCTCCTCATTCCTTCAATTCCTGATCCACAGAATATTCCAGAAAACTCACAAACCCCACATTCCACAGGTATTGCTACAGGAGTAGCCCCAATGTACATATCTGAGATATCCCCTGTATCTGTGAAGGGAGCAATCGGTGTATCTCATCAGTTCATGATTACTTTTGGAATTCTCATCGCATTCGTCATGAGTATAAAAGGGGTCAGTTTTATTTTTACTGTTATTATACCAAACATTTTCAATCTTGTACGTACGATTTTTCAAGATTATCGTAAATGGAAGGTTCCGGAAGTGACAGAAGGCGCTATTCCATAATTTTGTTATCTGGCCGCTCATCTCATTTCTTTCTAAATATCAATATTTTCATGGACCTGATCCAAAAACAAGCTCTTCGCTCCTATTTGAGAGCAACTTCATGATGACATCATCACTTCATGATGACCTTATCACTTCAGGATGACCTTATCACTTCAGGCGTTATCATCTTTCTCAGAGTACTGGCACATGTACTTCGCGTTTCCAGCACTCCCAGCACTGTACCAGCTCATACTACTGCCACTCTGTCCTGAGTCTCCTAACTGGTTGTATTATAATAAGGAACGGGAAGATCTTGCTAGAGCCGGTGAGTTCAAACACAAGGATTTATCTTGTTAATACAAGTTTAAATCATACTTTTCTTCGACTTGGCAACTTGGCAGGAAGCTTGAAAAAACACTAGAAAGTAACCATTCTATACCAAAATTTACCTCTTCAATTCCTAAAGTCTTTCTTCTCCAGCTCTGACGAAGCTGCGTAACAGTAGAAGTGTGGCAGACCAGGAAGTGGATGCTATGATAAAAGAGCGAACTACTGCCACCTCCTCTGTTATGGTTAGTCACTAACCACATTCTAATAATAACAACTCTAGGTGTTATTTATAATAATATCAAGTTTTAAGAGAATTCCGAGAATTCTTAGCCTTGCTCGTGTGTTTCCCTTGGGTGTCCACTGTCCAAATACAATGTCATGTTTGTGATTTGTACCCTTTCATATTTTTCTATGATTAATGTGAATACAATTATTAAGGCGTTATTGCTAACTCCCCAATCAAACACAACATAGGGTAGCAACTATTTCGTTCTGGGCTGGGCTGGAATGTGGCGGTCTCCGTTAACACCTGCAGCTGATGTGAGCTGTTGGTGGTGTAGTACCTTTTGGTGGTGTAGTACCTCGTGTTATAGTCAGGGGTGCAGTGGCGTAACTTAGGGCCCCGCAGACCCCGCTGTGCGGGGGGGGGGGGGGGGGCGCCGTATAAGGGGGCGCAATTTTCCTGAATTTTAGGCCCTTTCACTGAAAAAACGCCTTGTTTGTGTATTTCCCTGTCCAATTTAGCGTTCGGTCGACGCGAAAAAAATATTTGGGGTACCCTTTTTTGCTTCAGGGGGGCGCAAAAAGCTGTAAGGGGCGAGAAAAAAAGTACCCGACCTTTTTTCTTTTTTTTTTTCTTTTTTTTTTTCTTTTTTTTTAGGGACACAAAAAATTTTAGGGGGGCGCTTTTCGTCACTGAGCGGGGGGGGGGGGGGGGGGGGGCGCCAACAGGCAAAGTTACGCCACTGCAGGGGTGGTGTAGGAATGATTTTCTTCATGGGGGGCCAAATTCTAAATATTTTTTGGCACTTCTCGCAGCCTAAATTTTTTGGCGCTCTGCAAAGCCTGAATTTCGTGGGTAAGGACAAAAGGAAATTGCAGCATTGCATGTGCGGTATCGCGATTTTTTTCACGTTTGCCGCGACAAATCGCGATTTTTTCAGTTCTCCGCGTCAAATTGCGCATTTTCCTTTAAATCTGAGGACCAAATTCGCGTATTTTCTTTCAAATCTGTGGGCCAAATATCACGTTTTCTATAATTAGTATATAAAACCAATCAGTATCACATCCACAACCTTCCGAATGTAGGTATGGAGTTCAAAAAACCGAAAAATATATTTTCGGCTCAGAAGAAATTTTCGGTCCGAGTCATTCTCGATATCGTCACCTACAAATAGAAAGGGCCTATGTCGACATAGGCCCTTTTAAAAAACTATACCAGCACGAAAATCTGTGGAACCATACCTACCATATTATTATCCCCAAATATAAAGTCAATTGGGTGAAAATTGAATATCTTCAATTTTTTAAAAGGGCTTATATTAACATAGTCCTTTTTCAATAAACTGAACTGCTACTGATATTGATAAAATAAAAGGGCACATGTCGACATAGGCCCTAACAAATTGTTGAAATTTGATGTTTTTGATGATGTTTTTGAAAAGTAGAAAGGGCCTAAGTCAACATAAGCCCTAACAAATTGTTGGAATGTGATGTTTTTGAAAAGTAGAAAGGGCCTTAGAAGTCAACATATGCCCTACCAAATTGTTGGAATGTGATGTTCAAAGATATGAATTTGAAAAGTTAAAAGGACTTATGTACACATAAGCCCTGTACCGATTCTCACATGTAAGATATTTCAATTAATTAAGAGGGGCCTATGTATCAAACGTTGTTTTAAATGGGCCTATGTCAAAATTAAATCAATCACCCGGCACCCCAATTAATTGAAAAACTTCAGGAACATTTTCAGAGTGTAGGCCAGTCATTCTTTCCATTTAGGATACATAGAAATCAAATTCAAATGCCTATCCTAAAGTTAATTTCTATAAACAGTTTTTATGCATTATCTCAAAACGACTTAATTCGACATAAGCCCTTTCTATTTGTAGGTGACGAATTATGTACCTCTGAAAGCAGAGCTCCCGCTTCCGAGCTCGTATTGCGAAGGGGAGGCCTGCTTTCCGAGATCGCATTACAAAGGGGAACCCTCGAGTCCAAAATCGTATATCGAACTTCGAAAACCAAAAAAATATTTTTGGCTCATAATGATCAGGGTAGCATGAAACATGAACAAAAGTAGTTTCCAAGAAAACTTTGAAAATTTTTGACTTTAAAACTTAAAAAATTTCAGGAAAAAAATGTTTTTTCCCAAATTTTTTTGGAAACCTAAATTAAAAAGTTGGCCCTTTTGGCCCCTTGCCCAAATTTCATGGGGGGGGGGGGGGGGGGGGGGGGGCGGGCGACGCCCCCCCCCCTGCCCCCCGCTTCCTACACCCCTGGTTATAGTGCCCAATGCCCTTATTGCCCATTCATGCGTGGAATGTGGATACCAGATAAATTGTAGCGTCTATTATACCTTTATACGCTTCGATTTTGTTAATGTTTTTTATTTTTATTTTTATATATAGAAAAGTAAAATGTAGCAAAATTTCTGACAGAATGACGGTCCAGGGAGCGGATGATTTTGTTTATCATAAACTTTTTTTTCTTCATAAACTATGTGCCGTGATTGCTATATTGGCTCCGTCAATTCAGACATGTCTTTTTACCCGCTATAAAAGATAATCAGCATCTAATACAGTAACATCAGAGTAATATTTAAATAATATGCTAATTAAATCACTTATCTCAGGTGTCCTACAAACAGTTGTTCTCAGATAGAACTCTACGTCTCACCCTTATAATCGGGCTTGCTCTACAAGGTGCCCAGCAACTCAGTGGAGTCAATGCTGTGAGTCTTATCAACTTATAATCAACTATTTCGTGGTCACTTTATCAAATTCCTTTTACTTATTATTAGATATTTAATCGTTTTTGGTCCTTCTTACTTAGAAAATTGGCGTCTATAAATTGAATTGGTTACTCAGCTAACCTCATCTTCTCCTTAGATTCTGAACTACGGTCCTGATATTCTGAAAACTGCTGGTTTAACAAACCCAGATCTCGGAACTGGACTGCTAGGGGGTATTAACGTTTTCATGACATTCGTATCGGTAGGTCATCATATTTGCTAGATTTTACTTACAAATTTTCTATCGTTTATGATTATCTGGTGGTGGATGATTATCGTAATGGTTTAAATGCCGTTTTTCTATCCATTTAAACTTTAAACTTCTTAATATGTTCGTGATAATACGATTTCAACACGAACTAAAATATCTTAATACACCCTCGAATTATCAGGTTCCTTTGATGGACAAACTAGGACGACGTTCTCTCATGCTTCTAGGTCAAGGCGGCATGATCTTATCCTTTATCGGCCTAGCAAGTTAGTTATGTATGGTATTATACAATATAATATACAATATACATGTAATATTATGTACGGTTATGTGGATTTACATTTTGATTTTGCTGACGATCTAGATCTGTCAATTTAATCTTTTCACGAAATCCTATTAAATTTATAAGTATCGCTTGGGGTGACATTACATTTAAAGCAGGTAGTGTTTTTCAAGCTCCTTCAACAGGACAATTTCTTATAAAATCTTACTTACACTATATTACAAGTCTTGTTGTTGTTATGTAATTGTTATTATTTCAGTTGCACAGAAAATACACTATGGCTCACCGGACGGTTCAAGTTGGACAGCCCCAGTTTCTGTTGCTACCGTCGTTACTTTCATCATATTCTTCGCTGTAGGACCTGGTCAGTTCACATCACAGTGCTATTCATAATTCGTTTACTATTGAGTTTAGGAGGTATCTTTTCGAATAGCTACCACCCACAGTCCATTTGAGGAGGATATGTTTCATGTCCTATCTTACCAGGCGCCCTATTATTATACTAGACATTAAAGTTCCTGAGCTCTTATTTTACTAAAGGAAACACTAATTAAGATCAATAAAATTCTTGGTGAGCGATTGCACCACCTCACTAGACACCCCGCTCAACTTGAGTCTAGTGGAATCCCGTAGGTCCCGACCAGACTCGTCGAAAAAGCATTTGATGTTACGGTTTGGTGTAACACTCTTCAAACCAGTGTTGTATGTTTAAACTGTCTTCTTATTCCTTCTTCCATAACCTTTCCTTGTGTTTGGCATTGGATTCATTTCATTTTTAATTAAATGATCGGCGTGTTTTATATGAACCTGCACATGCAACAATGGGCCAAGTAACTTGGCCCGGTTTTTTATTTTGTTGCTAGAAGTGATCAGGATGCCAAGACGCATCTGCATGTCAATTTTGAACAAAATCGGACAACATTTTAGAAAATTCAGCCCTTTCAATAGTGGGCTATATAATGTGGATCTCTACTTCAATCTAAGTTATGCAGTTCAAGAATGGGCTAGCTAACATAGCCCGAGATAATAATTAAGCTGTGCTTCTTCGCAGGTGGGCCAAGTTAACATGGCCCGTTATTACACAGATATTAGCAAGACACGATCTACTGTAAAGGTGGGCCAAGTTAATGTGGCCCGTTATTGCATAGGTATGAGATTACTTCCATTAAAAATAGTTGCTGGTCTATGTTTCATGGCCCATATCCTTTTATATGAATGGGTGGGCCAAGTAATGTAGACCACATAAGTTTATTGGAAATCAGCGAGCCATGTAACTTTTTGCCAGATGCAGACGAAACTATTTACAATTTTGCTTAAAAAATTAATGTGCCTAATGGGCCAACCGAATACCTAACCCACGAAAAAGAATTTTTGATGATCCAAAATATTCTGTAAAAATGGGAAAGTTTTTTTCGTTTATCTCAAAACCACTAAAAACTATTTAGCCCACTCTTGCATGTGCAGGTTCATATATTATTATATTATATAGAGTCGGTAGAGTAAGAAACTAATGAAGATAGACTGGAATCGTTAAAGCTGTCAGAATCGGACTATTTTGGCCGGGATCAAATCGGTGTCTACAAGAAAAACAGATTTAATGTTGTTTCATGTGAAAACAACATTAAATCTAATGGTTTTTTTGTAGTCCAGATCCCAGTTTTTATTCCGGTACTGACACTGTCTACCTGTTCCAGCCAAAAACCGATCCCGGTCCAGATATTTGTCCCTAATTGATATTCCCCCAGGTCCAGATATTTGTCCCTAATTGATATTCCCCCAGGTCCAGATATTTGTCCCTAATTGATATTCCCCCAGGTCCAGATATTTGTCCCTAATTGATATTCCCCCAGGTCCAGATATTTGTCCCTAATTGATATTCCCCCAGGTCCAGATATTTGTCCCTAATTGATATTCCCCCAGGTTCGATCCCTTGTCCAGATATTTGTCCCTAATTGATATTCCCCCAGGTCCAGATATTTGTCCCTAATTGATATTCCCCCAGGTCCAGATATTTGTCCCTAATTGATATTCCCCCAGGTTCGATCCCTTGTCCAGATATTTGTCCCTAATTGATATTCCCCCAGGTCCAGATATTTGTCCCTAATTGATATTCCCCCAGGTCCAGATATTTGTCCCTAATTGATATTCCCCCAGGTTCGATCCCTTGGCTGATAATAGCGGAGATCTTCACAGCTGATGCTCGTGGTAAAGCCAGTAGTCTGTGTGTGGGAGCTAACTGGGTCTGCAACCTGCTTGTGGTTCTGACATACGACCAGCTCAACGTCAGTGCTGCATTCTTAACATTTCTCGAATATTTCATACATATTATAATTGTTATATTATGTAATATATGCTGCTGAGTGCATGAGACTGAGATGAACCACATATCCGTATATTTATGTAGAGAAATGTGTAAAAATTAAGGTCCTGTGTGCGAAGTAAATCTTCGTTTAGTAAAAAGGAGCATTGAAGATCGTTGTTTAATATCCAAATTACACTTAATAATCGATCAATAATTATACACTCCTAATATAATTCAACTTCATATATTTCAGAAAGCTCTGTCTCCGAACACATTCTTTCTCTACACGGGAATAGTAACATTCTTCTTCATCTTCACAATCTTCTTCGTACCTGAAACTAAGAAGAAACCAGTAGAACAGATAGTTAGAGAGATTAAGACACAAGCTGAAAAGTTCCCTCCTACAGTATTTTAATGATACGTGCTGTGGGTATTAGTGTCACGTGGTGTGACGTCATGTCACGTGGTGTGACGTCATGTCCAGTGGAAGGAAAAGACCATACTTTGTAGGCTACGGCTGATGCCAGGTCATCACAAAATGTTATAGAACGGGGAAAGTGATGAATTTTTGAATGCTCAGAACATAAATGTGGGTAATGATAGGAATGTAAATAGTTGATAGTGCAAGCTGATTGGCTAATCGTTATCACGTGTCAAAAAAAACATGCGCAACTTCCCGCAAGTGCCCACGTTTATCTTTCGCAAGTTTTTATTATTTTCATTTTAAACCTAATTTGATTTTTAAGATACAAATGATTGGTATTGAAAATATTTGGTATGTGCTATCTTTGTTAGTTAAAGTGCACACTGTTGACTGTTTGACCCGAAATTGTTTATAATTTAGAAAAACTGTTTATAATATTGATTATTGTATTTCTGGGATCAGTATTTTGTAATCAGATTAAGAATAATTTTTTGTATTTAATAAATGTGTTCAGTGACAATTTTCAATTTATTCTCCATTTGATAGTTTTAATGACCGAAGTTATATACTAGAAAAAAGTGTCAGAATTTATTTTTCCTGAAATGAAAAATTCTTAAAGTTCTCATCTTATAGTTCTCATCTTATAGTTATAAATTTCTCCATCACACGTTAGGAACCTTGTAAACCAGAGCTCAAACATAAGAATACTCGACATTAGATACGTCTGGCACAGTTCCAACAAAGCCAGCTGCCTAATTCTCTACATACCGGAACTTTTATTGAGATAGACTTGAAATTCCTTTTGTATTAATATTACGCGTATGATGTACTTACCGATACCTTTTCTCAGCTGTACTTGAAAACTTATCCATTGTACTGTATGTAAGGTTGGCCCGTATATTGTTACACAGTATTTATTGGCAAGTTCGAGCTTTTTATAATTGAGATAGCAGAACCGCAGTTATTGCAAACTAATGGAATAAATGGTTGTGAACATAATGGAATAATGTGAGATGGTAATTGGGATTCATTACTATCACATTCTCCATTGACATGAGGCTGTCTGGCTAACAATTCCGAATCTGTCGCTAAAAAGCCGTGAAACTAGTTTTTCCATGCTGAACAGTTTCTGGCATCCTCTGTTTTCCTTCAGACTTAAGTGATGCGAATTGGTAAAAACTTATTATATAATGGCCACGCTATTTTTAAACTATTTCACTTAAAACTAGGATTGAATTTCTGATAAATTCCTGCGATAAAAGTGGAGAATCCATCTTAAAAAACGTTAAATTGTAGAATTAATGTTGTTAAATTGTAGAATGGGTACCGAAGTAGAAAAAGCAGCTAAAACTACATTTCTGCAACTCCGTCCCATCTGTTCTGCAGCAGCCAATATTCCTAATGTGGCTAATTTTACAGCCTTACTGACGGCGCTTGAAGATGTCGAGGTTAGCCTTGGTGTTTGTTTGTTTGTATGTTTGTTTGTTTGTTTGTTTGTTTGTTTGTTTGTTTGTTTGTTTGTTTGTTTGTTTGTTTGTTTGTTTGTTTGTTTGTTTGTTTGTTTGTTTGTTTGTTTGTTTGTTTGTATGTTTGTTTGTTTGTTTGTTTGTTTGTTTGTTTGTATGTTTGTTTGTTTGTTTGTTTGTTTGTTTGTTTGTTTGTATGTTTGTTTGTTTGTATGTTTGTTTGTTTGTTTGTTTGTTTGTTTGTTTGTATGTTTGTTTGTTTGTTTGTTTGTATGTTTGTTTGTTTGTTTGTTTGTATGTTTGTTTGTTTGTTTGTTTGTTTGTTTGTTTGTTTGTTTGTTTGTATGTTTGTTTGTATGTTTGTTTGTATGTTTGTTTGTTTGTTTGTTTGTTTGTTTGTTTGTTTGTTTGTTTGTTTGTTTGTTTGTTTGTTTGTTTGTTTGTTTGTTTGTTTGTTTGTTTGTTTGTTTGTTTGTTTGTTTGTTTGTATGTTTGTATGTTTGTATGTTTGTTTGTTTGTTTGTTTGTTTGTTTGTTTGTTTGTTTGTTTGTTTGTTTGTTTGTTTGTTTGTTTGTTTGTTTGTTTGTTTGTTTGTTTGTTTGTTTGTTTGTTTGTTTGTTTGTTTGTTTGTTTGTTTGTTTGTAATTTTATGTTTGTAATTGTATGTTATTATTTATGTTTGGTCTGTTTCCTCACACTTCATTCAAATTCCTGATCAAACTGTCCACTCACTGTCTGCTTGTTTGTTAAGGATGGTTTTGGTCGTGATGATGAACATAGTGCTAATTTGGTTAAATAACAATGCACGTGCAGTACTATGAAGTGTTAAATGTAAACTCAGTAAAGTGAACACTGCATTGTGTGAAGTAATGTGCTGCAGTCAGTGTACATGGGACTGTGTAGAACTAGAACACACTATTGAGCACCGCGACCGGTACAAATTTTATACCAGTTTAAGAAGGAACACGCTGACGCTGGTATTACCACACTGGTACTGGCACTGTCAGTACTGTGGCAAAACTGCGTGAAGCTGTACAGGGTTTCACATCGGGGCGTTATAATTTACCGTAAATTATGAAGGGAGAATTGTTGCAATGTCCGATCCTGGTTCCGATTGATACTAATATGAAGATTGATAAGCGATCTTCAGTCCGACTTAACTTACTTACTTGATGAATGTTTTGAATACTAAAAATTCTTAGCACAGATTTTCACAGCCTTCCAGTCTCTCTCCACTTTACACCATATTTTAAGAGAGAAGTTATTGTGTGACATCATAACATGTCTAGTGTGACGTCATAAAATGTAGTGTGACGTCATATCATGTAGTGTGACGTCATAACATGTCTAGTGTGACGTCATAACATGTAGTGTGACGTCATAACATGTAGTGTGACGTCATATCATGTTGTGTGACATCATAACATGTCTAGTGTGACATCATAACATGTCTAGTGTGACATCATAACATGTCTAGTGTGACGTCATAACATGTAGTGTGACGTCATAACATGTATTGTGACGTCATATCATGTAGTGTGACGTCATAACATGTCTAGTGTGACGTCATAACATGTAGTGTGACGTCATAACATGTAGTGTGACGTCATAACATGTAGTGTGACGTCATATCATGTAGTGTGACGTCATATCATATAGTGTAACGTCATAACATGTAGTGTGACGTCATATCATGTAGTGTGACGTCATAACATGTAGTGTTGCGTCATAACATGTAGTGTGACGTCATATCATAACGTCATATCATAATGTTTCAAATTATTTTCAAAATGTTTTTTTATTTAAATGTTTTTTTTAAAATGTAGTGTGACGTCATATCATCAATATCTCACTTTTCAGATAGAAAACGCGCCCCAACTCGTACAATACATCCTGTTTCCTATGATGGTGGTTATACAGAAACACAATACCCACCCAACACAGGTCAGTCTATAATTAATATTACCTTGTGATAGTAAAGTTATTGTTGGAGGGCGGCTAAGAGTTATCGCTATCATAAAGGCTGGACATGAAGTAAACATTCTATCATGAAAAGCTGGAAACTATACTCAGATAGCTCTGAAAGAAACTGTAAACAAACAAAACACAAACAACCCAACCAACCAGCCCTCTCAACCTCCCTCAGGTAAAAGAAGCCGCAGTTAAATGCCTCCTGTGTGTGGTGCGCAAAGTTAACGTGACAGATACCTCAGTGTTCCTCAGTGTCTTCGACAATGTCTCCTCCATGATATTTCCCTCTGAGAAGACTAATTTTAGTGACGAACTTATACACCTTGCTCTACAGGTTAGTTCTCTTGTAAAGACGTGAAGGTATGTTATATTTTAGTTGTAGTTGTTATATTTTGTTATACATATCTTAGTTGTAGTTGCTATATTTGTTATATTTTAGGGGTTTCACTTTAAGTTACAATTTCCTGGATGGGAAAGTGAGGATGATTTTAATTTTCAGCTTGTACTCAGTTGAGTTTATATCATTAAAAATGAAAGCGTGGAGCAACAACTTGTAACTAATCTGTAAAAATGTGCTTGAACTACTTACTCTCAATCGGGAAAATATAATGCAGGTGATGCTGACCATGTTTCAAGAAATAACCGAACCTACACTCTGTCAACTATGCACTGTTGAGCGCTTACCCTTCGCGGGTCACATGATCGCCATTGCCCTGACATATGCGCATAAGTGCGCAAGCAAAGATGTGAAACTTACTGCTCTTCAGTTTCTACAGGTGGGTCTGCGAGTATTTTAAATTAAGAAACATTTAAAAGTACGCCAAAAGGTCGTCAAGATTTAAGGTAATCGTTTGATTACGAATCTTTAGAGTCTAATTTCAATGACCATAATTATTTGAATTCTAATAATATAAATCACGATGATTTAGCTTACTCCTTCTCAAATCTAACTAAATACAGCAATTAGACGATAACACGTGAATACACGTGAAAACACGTGACCCTATCTAATAACTCGTGATAACACGTGACCCTATCTAACCCTCAGATAATGTTTGACAAGATGTCCCGTATAGAGGGCTCCGAAGTAAAAGAAGAAACAGAACAATACTGGACCCATATTAGCGGGAGTGATCTGTTAGCTAGTCTACTTCCGGGCATTGTTACCATGCTCGTCAAGATTATCACTGAGCCTAACAAGGTAGGTCTGCAATTAGTGCAGTTAGTGAAGTGTTTATTTTTTAAAGTGTGTTATTGTTTCTGCATAGCATGAAATATTTACCTACTTACTTGCACTTGTGTAGGTCTGTAGAAGCATTAGAATCGGGCGTTGCCTGCCACAGCTACAGGCTATCCCGAATCTAGAAGCTTGCTTTAATAATAATATTGTTTCTATACTTCTTCAGAATAATGTCAACACTTCTATGTTACAGATTATTTAAGGCTCGTGGTTCCCTTCGTGTCCAAATAAAGGATTTGTCTATACTTTTATACTTCTATTATATACATATGAGTGACTGCTCAAGACATACACAGAAACAGTCCCAACCAGTGCTCGAATCTGGAGAAAACATCACGGCCGGAACCCAGTCCCATACCAGGATAAGAAGTCTATTTCCTGCCGGGATTCCGGCTTTACCAAGATTCCGACATAGTCACAACTTTAAAGCCAGCGTTTTCCGAGATTTGGATTTGAAAAGTTTGCATGATGCATCACCTTCCCAACATAGCATTGTTATCTTTTAACAACATCCTGTGAGGTCTTATATTTTGAAGAATTTGCATAGTTAATTAAAAACGTTAAGTGGCGAAAGATTCTAGATTGGTACGAGTTATGTATAATAATAGTAAGCCACTGTGTAAGCTACCTACTGGCTACTTTATTAATATTATGTGTTGTTGACACTTAACAATGTTTTTCATACACAGTATGAAATAAATCATCAACAACTTGTGAGTCACCCTGATCAGGCTTCTAATAAAATAAATATAGACTAGTCTATAATTCCTTCATAAAGCACAATTACGTCATAGTCAAACTTTTTATTACTATTATTCTTGTTGGGACACGAAGGGTAACACACAATATTGGCAATATTGTTATTATTTATATATTATTTTTAAATGGTCTTCAGTTAAAATTCTCATCTCTTCAACTATGAAAAATAGAAAAAAAATCCCTGAATTTAAGATCTTCCTTAAATAACTTACTCCTCATCGATATTTGTCACAGAAAACTACTGAAAAGACATAATATAATAAGGTTGATGAATTTTACACAATAAAGCAAAATTTCTGAAAACTAGACTGGGATCTTCAAGTTTAAAAACACACGAAACATTCATAAGTCCATCCTTGTAATACTCCTTGTTATATTCCTATCTAACAGTTTATATCTATTATCACCCTCTCTTTGAATAGGAACCCCCATAATTCTCCCCCGCAAAGTTGCAAGATATCTTCTCATATGCGAGTTTCTGGTGAGGTAAACCACCGGATTGCAAGCAGAATTTAGTGGTAATAATATGTAGATCATAATGTCTATAACTTCGATTGGAATGTTTTGGTAAATGATCTGGGAATATAGAGGAATGGCAGCAATAACAAGAAAACCAATGTTGCAAATACAGTAGATGAAGGCTATTATTCCCACAGTGATGGTCGCTCGTCTGATTTTTCTGTTTTGGGTTCGAAACTTCGTAAGGAACAGCGAAGTCATAGCAAACATATTTGAGAGTAGCACCACAATGAATAAACCAGCCAGGATTAAGAATCTAGTAAGGTTAACAACCGTTCTGAGTGTAGGTACAGATGGATTATGGCGATGGTAGACCCATATTGACAACAAAGCAATTACAATTACGCTGTAGAGCACCATAGACAACTTGATTGAAAACCAGCTTACCACATGAAAAGGAAATTTTAAGGAAATTGTTCTAGCTACCGTCAATAAACACGTAAGAAAGCTAGTGACAAATACAGATAGCACAAACATTACATAAGAAGCTTCTTGTAACGATGGAAATTTATCGTGAATTTCTAAAGATGTAAAAAACAGTAAAGCTGAAATGCTCAACAAAAGATCGAACACATTCAATGCAACAAAGAGTTTAGTCGTCAGAGAGTCCTTATTCCTCGTGAGAGTGTTGGCCCTGATGGTCATGATGAAGAAAGAAAGTGACAAAATATTGGTTACTGTTCCAAGAGCTCCTATAATCGCACTGAGCACTAAGGTTACCTCAGGGCTGCTATTCTGGTATGGTGTTGTCCGGTATGGTGTTGAGGTCGATGTCATCTCATCCATATTGCATACTCTTACTGCTTCACCTATAAAGAAAAGAATTTAGTATGTTTAAACGTTTAAAGAGTAGAATTAATAGCCAGCAGAAGAAGTAAGTATGTGAAAACTGAGAGATGAGAATGAACCTCAGATCATGCCGAATGATTTTAACGCTGAGCATAACCTCTACTACAGAAAATATGGGCCGTATCAATTGGTCCTTGCGAACCTAACAATCTATAGAAAACGCAAATTTATTATATTAATGAATATTTCAACATAATATCACTATACTATTATGTAATCTCTTTCGTGTGACATGTCATATAAAACAGGATACTATTCAACTATCAAACAATAGAAATCATTACTCATATTTATATGATCTATATAGCCAAGTGAAAGTCTTTGTTGTCGTTAACCCCTAAAATTTAGTGAATTATGTAATATAACTTAACCCACGTCAGGTTAACAAACTGACGCTACAAACTGAACATTTGATACAAATAGACAAAAGATTTTCACATAGCACAATAATGTCCCCAAAGAGTTAGATTCAGAGAAAGTAGTTGGTATCATTTGTTCTGACCCCTCGATATAATATCAAGGCGTGATCACGTGATATCATAATTAATGAGTCCAGCAGAGGCGATGCTAAAATAACAAGTGAATGTTGAACGCCTGAACGGTCACGAATACATGTTCATAATGACGAACATGTAGTCTAGTCCTTTATTCCATACTTAATATCTTTATTTTATATCTTCATTTCATAATTATTTCAGTCAGCTATTTTAAATATCCACATGGTTACATAGTATCTAGTCAGACTATTGGCGCCGAAGAAAAGTCAATATTATGTGATTTTAGGTGTGTTGCTTCTCATTTAAATCTAGATCATGTGTCTTGATTATTTGGCTGAGCGGACTGTTGAAAATTGTTGACGTAACCAAGGCCAAGGATAATTTCTAGCCATTTTGAATAGAACGTCTTCCATCATTGGTAGTAGAATAAGAACAGTCAATGAAAAAACCGGTCAAGGTCGAGAATTAATTGTGAAACAGTAAAACAGCTGCAAATACACACAAATTGCATTTCACTCAAACAATGGGAGTATTGAACGGTCTGACTTGACCATTGGGAATTTGAACCGCACTTGAACAATGGGAATATTAGACCTCACGTGAACATTGGGAATATTAACAACAATAATAAATGGTTTTTATTAAGTGACACTTATACTTAAATACTTAGTAGTTTGAGTCCATCTGACGCGACTATTCGTCAGAAGGCGCTCAAATCTCAAAGGATAACTGCGACAACCGAGTGATTGACAGCAATATTATCAATATGAAAGATATCGACTCTGTAACGTACAGTGCGGTTCGTGACATGCAGATGCAACCACGATATTCTTCGAGAACTTGACCTTACATCACATGACCCATTAGTTGTGTCAAAATAATTGAGCAGATTTAATCTCCAGGACAATGAACAATTGAAATCAGCATTCAGCATGTAGAAAGAAATCATAATATTATTGTGAATGGGGAGTTATGAGTGATTCTGAGAAAATACAGAAGAACAGCGATCAAAGGAGTCTTGGCCCTTGGGAGGATTTTTAATTGAAATTAGGATAATTTAGATAATTTGGGGCGTCGAGAATATCTCAAGCCGAAGGTTAAACGGTTTGTCCGTGTTATTGGCCTTTATGAGCTTGAGTAGTATAATTAAATAAATAGTAGTATAAATAAATAAATCCATATTCATGACCACTACATTATTGAACTATTGGCTTATCCTACACCTTGGCGTATGGAATTCGATTAAATGGTTTCTCTGGGCAGATGCCAAAAAATAAAGTATGCCATGATTCTCCAAGGATACAGCTCCATCCAAATTAATGGTGCAAACTAAATCTAACCATTATCGGGGTTGGGTCAGTTGTCTAAATTGTGCAGCTCGCTGAGACTAATTCTAGGCAGTAAGGTAGCACGTTTTCGTGAAAAGTCAGGGGAGATGTGCCGAGACTCGAGAGCAGCAATTGAAGCCACGACCTCCCGACGAGATGAACACACGGATGCTATACCATTTAGCTATCTCGCCACAAATTAGTCCCAACAATTCACTGGGGATGAAATGAGAGCCTTTTACAGTGGGTGGAGACTCCCATCCACAGTTGCAGTAATCTATCATGATCAACCCACTCAAGAGAGCGAAAAACGAAACATTATGTAATTAGCCGTAATTGGCTGCCAGACCTTGGGTCAGAAGTGATATGACCACCATATACGTCATCACTTGTAATTAACATGCAAGCTTGAAGCTTGTGTCGTATAATTAAATAATTAGTGATGTGATCCATGGATTGAATATAATTGAGCTAGAAATGGGCTAGATCTGGGGTAGAGTTCATATGACAATTCTGTACATAGAAGCTATAAATTAAGAAGTGAACATGACGTTTTAAATTGAGACAATGTATTGGTTGGTTATAAAATGTTATTAAAATGTTAAATCGATTAATGATATAATACTTCAGAATACAACAAATTACTCAATATTATTACCAAAGTATTTCGCAACAGCGAACAAGTACTCAATCTTTGTTGGGTATGTCGTGTAGAAAGAACAAAGGTCGTACAGAATACTGCTGGAAATCCTCTTCTTTTTGGAAGGAGTCTTTCCAACAGCAAGCCGATCCAGATGATAATCTGTAACAACCTGTAGCACGAAAATATTCTTGAACAGAGGGCTTTGGGCAATTCACTCGGGTGGCAAGTACGTCTCACATCCCTTGATACGAGAACCCCCCCTTTAGCAAGAGTTTCCGTCCCTTATGTGATCTACGAGTCGAGCAGTCAGATCCTGTTTACTTCTTAATGTACAGCTATGATTTACTGAATTGACATGTGAACTCTACCCCAGTCCCCAGACCTAGCCCATTTCTGTGTCAATTATATTCAATCCGTGACATCAGGATCCAGCGTGCTAATGGTGCGTTCCATCAGCTTTGGAAGATATGGAACAGTCGAACTATAAGAACGCCCACCAAGATCGGTATCTACAAGGCTGCTGTTATTACTATTCTGTTATATGGAGCTGAAGTGTGGAACACAACAAAGAAGCAGATGAAACGGTTTGAGGTCTTCCATCTGACCTCCCTGAGAAGAATCTTGAAGATGAAGTGGTTCTTCCATGTCTCCAATGAAGAAGTTCTCAGGCGTGCTGGAATTAAGTCTATCGAAACTTTCATCGGTGCGGCTAGACTAAGGTGGTACGGACATGTTGTCAGAATGCCAGAGACGCCTTTCCCCAATTTCTTACTGGATTGGAAACCAAACTATGGAAAGAGACTGAGAGGACGACCCCGCAAAGGCTGGATGGCCTGTGTACTCGAGGATGCGGCTGAATTTACAGGTGTCGATAACATCAGCAGAGATGCAGTAAAACAGTTGGCTCTAAAGCGAGTGGAATGGAGGAACATGTTACGCCGTAGAAGAGATGTGTGTGATGCAGGCCACTCCAACGACTAGGAGGAGACCTCTTCATGTATGTATGGATCACATCACTAATTATACGTCACTAATTAGTGATATGATCTGACCCCTCTTGGGGGCCGGATCAGTTTTCTGACCCTAGGTCTAATTCAAAATTGATCGATTAAATTTACGGAGATTAGTAGACTTAAGGGGGGGGGGGGGGGGTTCACCCTCATTTTTTTGTGAAACTTGGTTTCGAGATAGCAGTTGACCAACAAACTACGACCGGTGACCGAACTTTTGAGGGGGTCCCGGACCCCAACAGCCAAACGGTGCCCGCGGGGCAGCCACGCCCATATTTGGTCCAGATTAGGCCCAATTTAGCCAAATACCCCGAACATGCCCAAAACCCAGATTTTAGGTGCTTTACTTGTAGCTAGTGGTCCCCTAAACTCGTATATGAATTTTCATCAAGATTGGACAAAAAATGACTGAGTTATGAGCCAAAAACCATATGCCCATATTTGGGCATACGCACCAAATTTTGTCGATTTTGGCCCATAAATTGGTCAAATATCAATATTTTTGAATGAAACCAACTTTATTTAGAAGGTAAGCCTATACTACACATTCTCTATGATTATCAGCTCAGTATCTACCTAACTGTGGATTCTGTGTTCAATTAATCGCTAAAAATGAACAAAATCGCTCATATCTCAGTTCGCGATATTTGCGAAACTGATTTCGTTCAAAACAATAGAACTCAATAGGGTTTCAATATTTTTACATGAAATTTTCAGAATCAACGTAGAATCGCATTTCGACCTTAAGTTTTAATATGGAATTTTGAGTTAGGCCTTTAAAAAAATTTGGCGGCCAAATTCTGAAAAATGCCCGGCAAATTTCAGAATTTGGCCGCCAGAGCGTACTATCATGTATTAAGAGATTTTTAATTATGTGATAAATCATTGATGTGGGTAGTTTAGTTTTAGTTACAGTCTAGACTTAAACCTCAGCTGTCTTGGGGAAAAAATAAAAGAAAAAAGTGAAGTAGACTAATACCAGTTACAACAATTAACCCTTCGTTAAATATTCAACATTGCTTATAGAAGTTAATAAAGTGTCACAAATTAAAGTAAGTTATTATATTATCTGCAGGTCAACTGGTCAATGACAAAACTAATTTAAATGGAGACAAGCAATAAGAGCACTATTGTTAATGACACAAACTAATAATAATTATTAAACTACCATCTAATGTTTACAACATGATAAATATTTAATATGTTTGTTGTGTGAACTTACCAGCAATTGTAATATAACGTGTGGGAGTGCTGCAATAAACTTAGAAATAAACATGAACCCCAACTTCATAACAACAATTCCAAAAATACGATAATTGTTTGCTGGTTAATTATAAACAACGGCACTCATGAAAGCACAACACCACGGTTGTCACACTTCAATGCGTCCTGTTCGTGTGGCATTATTTGAATTTCCTATGCCACAATACCATACTTCATGCGGTATATCGTATATGATTATCTTAAATAAATAATTGAATTGCTGCGTCCTGCTCTGACATACGCTATTGGAGGTCGGCAATTCGTTGATTAATAAACATCAAACAACGTGTATCACGGCGAATACTAAACTCAAATGCGTTCTGTCCTTGTGGCATTATTTCTTATACCACTAACCACACTACAACTCATGCGGTCTTGTAACATGACTTACGAAAGTAAATAATTAGATTGCCGTACCCTAATGATATGTAACGGTATTGGAAGTCGGAAAATCCGTACATTAATTGTAGTTCTAGCTGTTAACAGATAGAGTACGAGAGTACGAGATTTAGTATAATTATTGGTTTTTTGTTTTATGGACTCAGTAAAGCAAAAACAAACAAAAAACAGCATAGCACCACCACCTCTGATAACGCCATTACTCCAAATTACAAGCCTTAGTAAATAAAGATTACGAACTTATAATTATATTCTTATATTGAATTCTTGTAGCCGTAGAAAGTAAATGGTTCGCTGTAGAAGGTTAGCCAAATGACAATAGGGACCAACACTCTCATTAACACTAGTTAATTTTACACCTCATAGAAGAGACCATTGATAAACTATCATCGATAAGAAACAACACCGTTCACACCACAAACCATAACCCTCAACAAAGCTAAAAGATAGTAGAAACTAGAAAGGGTTGTTTAATAACACAAAGATAACTAACACTAATTATCGGGGACAGTATAAGGCTCAACATGGTGCCACGTTACCTTAGCCATCTTCAGATTAACCAACCCATTACCTAATTATATAACTAACTAATTGTTTAATTAACTAATTGACTGATTAACTAATTGACTGATTAACCTCAGTACTCGGAAGTGCAAGCTCGATCAGTTGGCTGCCTTGAAACCTTTATCTCTCTGACTCTGAACCAGCGACACTACCAAACCTCTATTGGGGAGAGCTTTCAGAGTTTGTTAAGTCCGGAGATAGATAGCTGCCCATTTACTGTGGACGACTTTAGGAAGGTTTGTGGAAATATTAGTAAAGTAAAGTTTACCAAGTTAAGAATAGAAATTTGCAGCAATATTTTGTCTTCTAAACTTCTTAATAAGTTAATTATGAAATTATGAACATACTTAACTAATCATGTAACTCTTTTAGACAATCTCTATTATTTAGCTTCAGACTTTATTGTCCTCGTACTATTATGATTCAATTAAAGTTTAAGTACAATTAATGATAACCATTAACAGCTCACTTAAACTATGTAACAATTAGTCACTAATTGTTAAATAGTTTAAGTAACACCACTTATTGTAATTATTGGTCTACAATAAGATACCTCCTCCAGGACCCAGCCGTTATACTTGCTAAAAGGGACGCAGTGTGGTGGAGGAAAACAGTACTTAACGTTCAGCCGCTCATTCACAGAATGATATCAACTCTATCATCAGAAAAGTTAGTTTAAATGACCAATAATTGAACGATAATTGAATGACCAATATTTGATAGATATTCACTAATTTCTGTCATGTTTGGTGATTTATTTTGTTATACGTCATACAGTTTACGTAACTGTTCTAATTTTATAGAGGGTGTGTAAGGATAGCAGTTGCCAAGTTTCTCCGTACTTGTATACGAGATAGTATGAGACCTTTACACCTCTGCATGGATAACATCATTGGAATGTTGCTCTGCATTCTTGACGACGATGATGAAGAGGTAACTGCTGACAAACATTTTTTAAACCAAAAATATTAATAAAATTAAAATCAAATATAAATAAAAAGATAAAATGAACCCGGTTCACCTAATAATAATCATTTATTATAATCATTTATTATGATGATTTATTATAATGATAATTCGTCATAATCATTAATCGTTTACTATAATAATCGTTTATTTATTTATATAATCATGATAATATTTAAGCAAGTAAGGGAATCGATTAGCTTTGTTAGGGACATCGATATTCGAGGAATAATTATTGAGGCAAAAGAGAACTCAAACTTTTAAACAAACGTATCTCACGTTTCCTTTTGAATAATAAAACAACTAAAATAAGTTTATTATGAAAATAATGTTAGCCACAGTTTTTGTTCGTGATAATATGGTGGCTGGTAAAAACAAAGGCTCCACACGAAGAACATTTAGACAAACAAAAAGACTTAATAAGTAGGTCTATTCGAATATTCGAAGCACACACGTATAGGTTGGCTCTTGATATTGATTTAGTAGCTAGTATGGGAGGAGGGGGGTGGCAACCTCATGCTCATTTATTTCTCAACATTTGGTCAAATGAACATGGGCATCGATGTCGAACTATTTTAGTAACATATTTGACCAAAAGTTCAGCAATGGAAGGGGAGTTTTTTTAACATACATATATAAATTATGTATTGTTATTGATGGAAATATTTTAAACGGGCATATCCTGTCCAAACCCAGGATGCACTACATGAATAATTCGTTGTAACTTTGTTTGAAAAGCATTAATATTTAATATAGGTGATACTCTCACAGTTTATATGTTTCAAGATCTCCCCTTCCATATAACTGATACGAGTCCAGGTTGTTTTGTCTGAGAAACTTTCAAATAATATTTGTTAATCGACTTTAAAATAATATGCTCTTATATACTATTCTTTGTCTAAATTGGGAGAGAGCGTATCGCAATACCGTGTGATTAGTGATTATCTGTTTATGTGCTTATGAGACAAGGACAAAAGGAAATCGTGGCACGTGCGGAATCGCGATTTTTGACGTTTGCAGCGACAAATTGCGATTTTCTCAGATCCTCGCGACAAATCGCGATTATTTCATATCAGTTCTCCAGGAAAAATTACGAATTTTCCTTTAAATCAGAGTGCCAAGTATATGGAACCAATCACATCCACAGCCTTCCGAATGTATGTACGGACTTCAGAAGCTCATAACAATCAGGGTAGCATGAAACATGTATGAACATACATAATGAAGAAGAGTAGTTTCCATAAGTAGACATAAAGTTAACCACTAGACACCCCAATTAATGTTTGTAAAACTGCAAACATTCAGAAAACGATATCTAGAGGCATGAGGCCCTCTTTTGAATATGGACAAAGGCAAAGATGAGGAAATAACATACTACGTATGTGATGTAAAATGTGTTAGGCATAAGGTTAGTTAGCAGTTAATCTGTTAAAGTGTTAAGTGAGATTTGGAACAATGAGAACATTGACCAATTGTTAAGACGATTAATCTATATTATAACATACTTTTGCGAACACACTATAGACAACAACTCATGAGGGTAAAGGAAATATTTCTACAAACATAATGATAATATGCGTAATCGGCGTGAGGTCACGTGATTTCGCAGATTACATTTTCCTCTAGAATAATGCCAAGTGGAGAGCAATTTGTAACAGTTTTGAATTTAGTAGTGCATTGCTTAAACATGTGTAGATCAACGGGAAAATATCGACATTAGCGATGCCTGCTACAGTATCCACTCGTGTAGAAATTATATAGAAAATGGTCTGAAATGTTGGATTTCGTTCAAAAAATTCTTGCAAAAAATTACGAAACGGCGCATTCGGCGTATAAACAGGTTCACGCAGTGTACGCCGTTTGAAAACGACGGCGGCGGCGTGGCCGGAAAATCATCGGCGGCGGCGGCGTGCAGCACTGAGGACTACTTGTTCCAGAACCACGTGCCTAAGATTAAGAACAACTTGTTAACTTGAAGAACCGTGGAAATTTCTGCGAATTCGCCGCGATTTTCGAGATTTTCGCCGCGATTTCGCCTAGTTTGGCTTGTCGCGGCGACGCGATTTTTGGCCTAAATAATCGCGATTTTCTTTTGTTCTTGTTATGAGAAGAAAGGAGATACGGAATCTTTACTTTATTTAAACTATAAAGCCTGTTTGATTGTGAAACAATTGCCATTAGATGCATCATATCTTAGGTTGATAACGTGGAAAATCAAACTTATAGGCTTAGCCATCAGCTAATATCGCTGGTCAAACAAAACAAAATCAAAAGGCTGCCGCATTTCTTTAAATCATTAGAGATCAATTTTTTTCGAGAGAAAAAAAATGTAAATCTGTGCGTATATAATTATATATTTATTATTATCTTAGAAACAAAAAAATTATCCAGTTGTAAAACCATCCTAAAACTATTGGTAACGGACACAAAATTACATAAAATAGAAGTGCACGCCCGTGCGGCGTGCGCTTAACTCAAGAATCAGACAATGAATATGGCCTGGTGATTACGGGAAATTAGGGGTCGTTCACATATTACGTAATCATCCAAGGGGGAGGGGCTAGTATAGTACTTAAGTAGTATTATAGTAGTAAATTTATAGTAGTATTATAGTAGTATTATAGCAGTTCTGGTTGTGCTAGAAAAAAGAATACTTAGGATTATGATTAAAAAGTTCAGTTAGTTCACTCCAATATCCTCTGTTTCATAGACTACTGCAACTCAGTCTATTATGGTATAACAGAAAAGAATCTCCATAAGCTACAAAAGATACAGAACAATGCTGCTAGATTTATCTTTGGTCTTTACGGAAAAAAGATACGTGAACCTATCATGCCTTACCTCAAAAAGCTCCACTTTCTGCCTGTTCGGTTCAGAATTAAGTTCAAAATATCACTTCTGGTCTTCAAGTGTCTTAATAACATAGCCCCTCAGTACTTACAAGGACACGTCAATCTAAGGGAAGTACGAAGACGAAGTTCCAGACTAGATGATGACTTTTATTTGTTGAAAGTTCCTCCTGCTCCTCATTTCAGACGAACAGATGCTGCATTTATGTTTTGTGGACCAAAAATTTGGAATGAACTACCCTACTCAGTGAGATCATTATCATCTGTAGAATGTTTTAAAAATGCCCTAAAGACGTTTTATTTCCAACTAGCTTTTGATAATATTTCTAATATTTGTCCATAATGTCTGAACTGATATGAAAGTGCATAATTTTGGTAACTTCATACAAATATTTGTTCATAAAATCTGAACTGTTTAAAAAGTCCATAATCTTGCTATTTCAACACTAAGTCTCGCTTGAATGACTTTAATGTACATCTTTGTTGGGTATATTTTAATGTCGAAGCGTGTAATAAATGTTAGAATTTATTTATTTATTATTTATTAAAGTTTAAATTATAATTCAAGAGAAAGGGAACATAGTTCAAGATAATATCTACGTATATTATATTAGATCCATTACAAAATGACTAGATTCCGGACCTACCTTTCAGAGGTAGTGGGTACAATTCTATATGCTGTCTACTGACGGGAAGTTTCTAGCTAAAAAGGGGTTTACAGGGTCTAAACAGGAATTTGGTTGTTATTTAGATTAGCCAGGTGGCTTAACAACTGAAAGTATTCGCACAAAAGTTGTCGAAAATAAATTGTGGCTATAAAATTTATAAGTTATTAGGTATGTGGCAGTGTTAGACAATTAATAACCTATAAATTTTACCCATTTGAATGTCTTCGCATGTCAAAGTTTGACGTTATTTATTTGTTTTAGGGAAAAAATGTGACTTGGGCGTTGTTTTTAACTATCATATTAATGCTTTTCATACGTTAAGTTACCACAAAGTCTTCAAGTTATGTATCCTGGGTTAGGACATGTTCTAAATTTATTTATATTTTATTATAATATTTGAATGTCATCAAATTATCAACATTCCAAAGTAAAAGAGCAGTTCCAGAACAATCATCCTAAACTTATACTGTGGCACGTGCGTAATATGTTAATATATCGTAATATTTCGCACGAAGCAAGATCTCTGCTTCCTGATTTGAATGAAGGAATCATACTACTATAACTAGCAATAACAGCTGGTAACTACCAAATTTATTAGTTGGTTTTGATTTGTTGTATCTAAAAATGTCTCATCGCTATCAGGTGAGTGAGATAGCAAAAGAAGGTCTGACAATAGTGTCTAAAGATAATGGATTGACACTGGTTTCCATAGTAACAGATGCACTTCAGGTAACTACTGAGTTAAGCAGGAAAATGTACAGAGTTACTAATATCAGCTGGCTTTTTAGAAAGCCAGCTTTTCTCACCGAAAGTAATCATTATTAATTTAACTATAACGGATAATCGACTTTCTGCATTTTTATTTAAGGAATTCCAGACATTACTAAACTCAAGACAAAGGAACGTTATTTGATTTATAATTTCAACTTAATACCAGGATATTACTCTGAAATTACCGACGATAGTGCTTGCGTCATGTGAAGATAAAATGATTGTCCTGAAGCAACTCAGAAATCTGGTGTGTCTTCTTGGTGAAAATGTTCACGTGGTCCTTAACTCAGAGTCCCATTGGATTTATATTGAACAGGTTCGTTTTATTTTTCCATTATTAACGTTAGAGATGTCAGTCGATCATGATCACATGGTCAGATCTGATTTGAAGTTCTTTCAATAAAGACTAACTTTCAAAACCGCTAAAGTGTGACTTTAATTCCGCTAAAGTGTGACTTTATTCCGGTTCAAGTAAGACTATATTCCCATTAAATTATGATTACATTTTCCCTGTAGATGTTTATGAAGATGTTGGAGATAGACCCACAAGAGATACGGATAGAAGACCTGTCTGTACTGTATCCGGAATACAGTGCCGTCAGTATCTCTGATACCAAGTGAGATTTTGTGACGGTTTTTCTGTCCTCATTTAAGTTCTTTGTAACGTCAAGTTTTAATCATTGGCTGTTTGAATAATATGATCATTTTTTTAGACATTACAAACGTTTCCATTTTCTAGTTACTTCTGCTTTCGGAAGCTTGTGATAAGTAACATGTCTGTTCTCAGCTGTAAAGACACAATAAAAGCAGACCTAAAGAAATCCACACGAACGATATTTGCGTTCAAGGAGATCAGATTTCAAAATGTAGAGAACAAGGGCCTGCTCAACTTGATTCTAGATATTGTTAACGTTATGGGATACCTTGGCAACATAGATGCTCTCGTCAATTCTTTCATGGTTAGAAGTTCTCTCTATTTGTATAAAATATGCTGGACAGCGGGCAAATTGAAATCGGTAGATGTTTCTAAATGAATTTTACCTTAAGTTTTCTGAATAGAATGATTTAGATGACGGAGTCATAACTCATAAGTAGAACAAATAGTGAAAGTAGGTAATGAAAAGTAGTGAAAAGCAGTGAAAAGTTGTAGTACACGGTAACAACTTATTCTGTCCACAGGAGAAGTTCCTAAAGTCAAAAGGACGGAAGGTACAATCCCTTATAATAGTATCAGATCTGTTGTGGGGAGCTAAGGGTCACGTGTCCCAGCGTGCCAAGTCGCTCTGTCCTACTGGTAATATATCTGTATATTAGCTAAGTAATTAGTTGGTTAATTAAAAAGCAACCTTTCGACAACAAAATATAGAAGTATATCTTACTATCTTACTATCTTACTATATGGATGGATCCGTACCATTTTACTGACACCACGGCATCAACTTTAACGCGACTTTCCGCAAAAACCGTAAAAGATATACTACTGAAACTTTTTCACTGGGTCAAATGCTTTAATGGCCTCCAAATCAGCATGAAAAAATAAAAAATTGGCCAAGAAATAGGAGTTTTACAGCCCAAAATTATACGGGTTCCTGCTAGTATTATATATAAAGCGCTCAGACGATTATATACATAATACATATATATAATAATATAATAATTTGTGGTTTATCCACTGGGCTTAGAGTTTGTGTTTAAGCTACCAAATTTTATTATTTTTATTATTATATATATAATTGTGGGTGAGATCTTGAAATATCAAATACCCCTAATTTGCCCAGCTAAAGTGAACGCAGAGCCGCTGGTTATAGACACGGCAGAGGAAGTTCTTCATACTTTACTGGACAGTCCTCTTTTCAATGATTCTCAGGTGAGACAATAACCTGATACTTTATTAATTAATTTACGTACTATAAAAGTAAATACGATACACTTGCTATGCTCTATCATTGAGGAAGTGCAATTGAAAAGAAATCCGCCTGCTAAACCAAAAAGTCACCCTGATCACAGCGACTACAGCAAGTGCTTTCCACGTCTTGTTCCTTTCGGGGCAAAATCCCCAAAATTTGAGAGATATTAATAAGTTAAACAATATTAATAAGTTAAACAATATTAATAAGTTAAACAATATTAATAAGTTAAACAATATTAATAAGTTAAACAATATAATTAATAAGTTAAACAATTTAAATTTTTGATAATTGATAAATTAAACTTACAAGAATAAATTGCTCTAAATTTATGCTCATCTTATTGCTTTAAAAAATTAAAACGACATAAATTCGATTTCCTAATTTCTTAAGAAATTTAACAAATTCTAACCATAGTTATCATGATCTAACCAAAGCATTGTTAATAGGAACCTAACAGATCTGTAAAAGAAATCAGACAAGAGAAGTTGCTGCACAGTTTAATGCTGTACTGTATGAGGGGATGCTTTAGAGTCCTAGGTAAATAGAACAACTACATGATTACAATATTATTAACTCTTGTAAAATTGTAATGATAGCTCATTGGAGGGATGATTGGATGTTTGATTAACATAAATTGAAATGTTGAAATCTGTTAGGAAAATACGCACACAGAGATCTGATCAGAGCTCTGTACCCAGTACTCAACAAACTGGGCTCAACCACTCCGCTTGTTAGCGAGGCTGCTTTCGTTACTGTTCAGGTACTGATTCTAACAAACAACCACTGTCTTTAAACCCATAATTTAACGTTATTTTGATTAAGAATTTTACATTTTTTCATTAATTAATTTGCACTGATGTTTGGGCCATCCCAAAACATATTGGCAACGACTCAATCATACTTGCCTTGAACAGCAACTCATTTGGTCCGTGTTAAAAATATTCAAAGTCTCAAAGAAATAACTTTGCAGGGTCTATGTCGTGAGTTCAACAGTCCGAACATTGGTTTCTTCTTGAAACAAAACGCTGACTACGTTATTAACACGGCGTGCTTGAATATGAGATATCTTGATCTCTATCCAAGTACAACTAGAGTTCTACAGGTATTTCTTCACTTGTAATCTTTTATAGATACGCTTATTTTATAGATACGCTTATCTTCGCTTGTAATATTTTATAGATACGCTTGTATTGCGCCAAACTGTTAATTATTTATAGAATAGACATAATCGTGTTTAGGTTTATTGAGTATAGTATTATATACTGTGTCTCAGTTTGAGGTGTTGTCACTATATTGATTTACCAAGTTTAAGATATTTAAAACTGAATAATGTATTATAAACTAAAAGCTTAACATAAAACTATTTATAGTTTTATGTCTATGACTTAATGACTATCTGTTATAACAGACAGTTTTCTAAAGCTGATTGAGTCGTGTATTATTATTGAGTCTCATGATTTGATGTTTCTTTCATTCAAATTTCTGATTGTTTCTGAATAGACTTAGTGAAGACAGATTATAATGGAAATAAATAGCTGAATAACTTATCGGCATTTCTACTTCATACTCATATTCTCAAATTTTATTTGTTACAATATAGTCGTGTTGAAAGTATTAAAATTTCTCAAGCCATTTTGTTCCAGGTTCTGATAAAACATTCCTCAAAAGAAGCTCTCCCACCTCTTCAGGACTGCTTACATGAAATAACAGCTTGTATAGCTGTACACCAGGTACCATTTACTGTTTATAATGTTATTTTACTTATTATTTACTTATTATTTATTTATTCGTTATTTATTTATCTTAGTTTTACACTGAGAATAGTATTCATTTTATTTATAACTTTCAAACAGACAAATTACAGCAACATGAATTTAACAAAAATTCGTCAATGGTAATTACCATAGAAAATAACTTTTCTCTAAACATTAACGTTAAGTGTATTAATATAAAACATTGAAATCCACTGAGTTTATTTGAACCGCAGCATTATTAAATTAGTTGTGGGTCTTTCAGTAAATATCAGTAGAACTCAGTGTTCTTGGTAGAAATATTCTTCACAAAGAAATTTTGCACAACACAAACAAAAAAATGAAATACATATATTTTTTATAAGCGTTACAAAGTCAACGACGTTTTTGTCCAACTAAAAGGTTCATGTGCATGTGTGAACAATCATCAGGGATATGCAACTTTCAGTTGGACAATAACGTCGTTTACTTTTTAACGCTTATAAAAAGCTCCTATTTGTTAGTAGAGAACTTTGTCGAACACACGAGAAACGAACACGTTTGTATATTTTTTCATATACAACTATTTTAAATACATTTAAAATGGGTTCTTGTCATTGATCTCACGAACTTGGTCACGTGTAAGCCTGACTAGATTCCTAGATTGGACATATTCTGCCAAAATTGTGTGATGTAGAGCTAATCTTTAGCATCGATGGGATCTTGAAGTCCGGAACCTTTTCAAAACAGCAACATTTTTTTCCAGCAGAGTTTTTTTCTCTATTCAGAATTCACGATTGACACTTTGACATCGTTAGAAATGATTTTATCTTCCTCAACAAAGCCTCGGCCAGCCCTTAATGCACGTATCTTTGACGACAACGCTAAAATCCATGCAATGAACAAGCTGACAAGAAAGCCTTGTCCTATATTGGCACTAACCAACATAACGATGAGTGGAGTTTTCACTTGGCACTGTCTTGTCTCTACCTCCTGTCTCACACACTTGTCAGGGCGAGTGTCCTCGTTTCTACAGGTGACACTGGACCTGTTCTTCCTGACACCATACCCAGGAGTACAGGTGGTAAGTATGGTTTGTCCGGGCAAGAAGAAGGGAGTGTCACCTTGTACTTCAGAGTGAGCTGCCTTTAACTTGTTTCGTTGGCATAGAGACAGGTGCTCCTCCCGCTTCAAGATACTCACAGTACCTAAAGAGACATCCGCGTGGGAAGACTCTGGATAAAGGAGCCAACCGACGTGTGTTATTGAAAAGAAGCAGGCGTTGTCACTTTCTTCCATATCCGCCATGTTTGCTAGCGCATGAATTGTTCCACTGTTGATTTGAAAGAGCTGATTTTCATTGCCGTCTTCACAGGAAACTACAGAAATCAACTTCATGCGGTTTTCGCCGTCCATTGCAATTGTGGCTGCAACGCAGAGGTTTAGAGAATCTGCTTGGAGAATTTTGAATCTGAGAGTTTTATTAGGCGGCGACGGCCGCATCTCAATTTTCCACGGAGTAGCATATGCGCAATCCTTCCACTTCAAATCCTTCAGCTTCCCGAATCCTAGACACAGTGTGCTCCGAACATCCTTGATCAAGACACCCTGACTTACCTCTGAGATACTTCCAATTGTTCTACATGGTACTGAAGGACTTCGCTCAAAATTCTTCAAGCAATTGATGTCTCCAACGACAGGGAAATCGTATGCATCTTCTTGGAATGAATCCCATGGGAATCCGGAATAGAGGCTGCAAGTTGATGTTTGAGATTGGAAGACAAACGTAGCACAGTTTTTGTGGTACCAACAGTACATCTTGCAAGCACTTACGCTCCCCACAGAAAAAATAGCAATCGTTTGTTCCAAAGCAAAGAAACAAGATCCACTCCTAGAACATGGATGAGTTTCATAGCAGAGAACAGAGTTTACAGTGTGGTTGGCAACTTTGGGGCTTATCGGCTTCGTGGATACAGCGTTGTAGGGCTGGGTGAGATTTAATTCTGCAAAAACTGTGGAGATTATCACAACTACTCTAATGACCAACATACTCCCCCTCTACCGTGAACTTAGCTGCAGATATAAGTAATCTGTTAAACTGATAAACTTAAGGACAGTCCATTCACAGTTCAAACGCTTCTAGTTGCAAATTTTGATGAATTAGTTCTGATATATACTGTAAACTGTAAACTCAAGATGTTTTTTGCGAATACAGATATCCTGGACTAAATAAAGGCAGCAAACATTAATTGAAATCTAAAGTAAAACCAATAATATTCAAAATAATGTCAAGAATAGAAAGATATCTTGGTCTTGATTGGAAAATTTGATTCACTAAAATCAAAACCACTCAGAAATGACTTAAAGTGTTGGTCGAGCCGAATATATATTATAAATATTAACAAAAGATTTTTCCACGAAGAAGGGCTTTTCCTCGAATACACGCTAAGAGATCCTTAGATCATTTTAGATTTTAGAGTTATAAATAAAAAAAAGCAGCTTGAGTCAATTTGTCACAAATGAATGATATTTATAACACTTGCGGCGTTTAGAATGAACACAATGAACAAACGTCATTGAAGCATTGCAAGGAGGTGCCTGTTTTTTGCAGCGAAATGCGAATTCTTAAATAGACTTAAAAGCATTACAAAATATATAGATTAGTTCTTATTAATGCTTTTCATGTTACAACAAAGTCTTCATGTTATGTATGCCGTACGGGGGGGGGGGGGGGGGGGGGGGGGGGGTCATACACATAGTACCGTACGTGACGTTGGGTGGGTGGGTCATAACTCATATTTTCATTCAAAAACAGAGTTAGTACATGGTTCATTTCCCAGAAAAATAGTTAGTACAACCCCAAAAATCTATCTCTATTATCTAATTCGACTACATTGAAAACAAAACCCCTACTAAATAGTGGGTATAATTTGCCCATTTCCCAATGTTTAATGAGCTGTTTAAAGCAATTTATGGGTGGTATCTTATTTTATATACCAAGACACAGCTAGTACCGTGATTTCTCAACAGTTAGTACCACAAAAGCCGGCAAAAGCCGCGAAGGGGGTGGGTGGGTCTTTTGACAAAATTCCAAAATTCCACTTAGCCGATGTCACGTACAGAACTTAGTACCTGATCTGTTTAAAGCAATTTATGGGTGGTATCTTATTTTATATACCAAGACACAGCTAGTACCGTGATTTCTCAACAGTTAGTACCACAAAAGCCGGCAAAAGCCGCGAAGGGGGGTGGGTGGGTCTTTTGACAAAATTCCAAAATTCCACTTAGCCGACGCTAACGTACAGAACTTAGTACCTGATCCCCCCGCCCCCCCCCCCCCCCCCCCCCCCCCCCCCCCCCCCCCCCCCCGTTATGTAGCATGGGATTGGACACTCAGAAAGGCGCCAGATTGTCGGATAATCTGCGAGGAAATGTTGGATTTTGAGGAAATTTGTCTGTACTACATCAGCTTATTCCGTCCAATTTTTATAGCTCATTTTAAAATCTATGATCATTGATCATGTATAATTAGCTACCTTACTCGGGATTATTACGACGGGTTTATTAACGACCGGTTAAAATAAATTGCTCAAAACCCACCACATTTTCCCGGTCGCCATTTTACCGGTGTCCAACCTTTCAATTTTAGATTCAAAAATGTTGTCTCAGATGTAAATTTCCTTATTAGAGATATGCAAGTTTAGAAATTTTCGCATTGCTAAAACTTGTGAAACAAGTCGAATTATCAATAATTGTTGAAAGTAGACAGAAATAATGACTCGTGGTTAATCAAACTAGATGGAAAATAATTTTTAACATTAGAAGCGAAAGAATGCATCTTCGAAAGAATGCATCGTTCACATTGTTTAGAATTATGAATAAATTACTGATGAAACTGATTCATGTTATTGACAGTTTTAGTTAATTCAAGTTTTAATTTAGCTGTTACTTTTACTTTGAGTCCTATTTCATTATGTAGAGACTAGATAGTCAATACCTAAGAAATTAAAAATTTGCCTATTTAAATCAACTTTGACAATAAGGATATATGACAAGAATTGGGCAAAAAGGTGAATTTTTTGCAATTTTAGCCAAATGAAGTCGAAAAACCTACAACAAGTGTCCCAATAGTCTTCTTTAGTGAATATAAGCTGAGACGGCGGGTTTATTAACGACCGGTGAAAATGTGGTTCGGGAAAAATATGGCGAAATTACCCTAAACCCGCCACTTTATCCCGGTCATAATAATCCCGAGTAAGGTATGTGATATGTAACCTCATATTGACGCTGTTATCAATCTACCTTTTTGTTCGTATTGATAATTGATCAAAGGGACAGTTCCAATATTCCGTATTATTACAACCTGTTCCTGACCATACATTTTTCTTGTACGATTTTCAAGCTTTTTTCGAGTATGAGTGGTCATGGTGTGCCTTATAATATGGAAAACACTGAGTTATCTGCCTACCTAGCTCATAGGCTTCCTCAAACCTGTACACCCGCTAGCTGAATGCTTTATTCAATGAAATGTAAAATTGTTTATGTTATAGTTTCTTGTCATCATCTATCTATCTATGATCTAGCTCCGTAATATAAATTGAATGGATTTTTATTTGCCGATAACGATAAAGGTTTCATTTAAGTATTTCCTAAACGATACTTTCTACCGCATCGAAAAATATCAATCACAACTAAAGTTATGAATAGTGATATCGTGAGCGTAAATGTGAGCTAGTTATGAGTTATGACGTATGACGTTATTAAAGCCTAAATCAAAATTCTAAGAATGTTATATCCTATTCCTATCCTTTTTTACAACCCTGCTAAAAATGGCGAGGTTTCAACTCCATTTGCGAGCCGAAATTGGTGTCAACAGAGGGTCATTTTTTGGTCGATTTGCCGGGGGGATTTCGTCAAGTTTAAAAAGTTAAAATATAATTATATAGATAAGTCGCATAGTTGAAATTTTTTCTTTTAATTAGCTAGTTAATTATAAATAATTAGCTAGTTAATCATGAATAATTTTACAGAGAGACGAACACACGATACCACTGTTCAAACTGCTGAAAATCTTCATGTTGAAATTAGAGGACTGGTTTCCTGACGTGGAGTACACTAAAGATGAACTCTACAGGTAAGTTTATATCTAGATACTACCTAGACAGTCCATATTATGTAGATACTATCTAGATTCTAGATAGTATCTACATACTGTCTAAACACTACAAGTCAGTTTTCTACAGAATATCTAGATATTATCTTGAAAGTATCCAGATAATATCATGCCCCAGACAATGTTAATTTTCTTCCCAAATGAATGAATTAAATATAAAGTTTTCAGCAGTTCACTAATCACATAATTAAATCATATAACTAATCACATAATTAAATCATATAACTAATCACATAATTAATGAAATATGTTTAGTATAAAAGAGCTGGGTTTGCTGCGAGATGATATCAGAGTTCAATTGGACACACTAACTCCTAACGAGTTCAACAAGGCTTTTGTTCAGTACTTCAATCTAAATGTAAGTAAATACTTAAATAATTTGTTATTTAATGTAAATAAATGCTTAAATAATCTTAATGTAAGTCCCAATTATTAACTTGTTCGTTAATTGATTGTTTAATTACATCATCAGAACGAAGACGAACAGAACGTTTTTACTGGAGAAGGTGAAGAAGACGATGAGAAGAAGTTACCACTTCATTTGAGAACTTGTAAAACTATAACAGAGGTTAGATACTTTCCTCCGATCCCACTCTTTCCTTTTTCTAACACTCTTCTTTTCACGACCTTTTATTTGTTATTAAGTTGAATATATGAAATACTAAACGTTAATAATTTACTCCGTAGTTTTCTGTATAATTTCTTTTCACTTATACTTGTTTACCTCAAAAAGCCAGTACTTTCCATTCTTATCCAGGAGTAAGCCATATGAGTGATAATATACCACTCTTACATCATGATTATTGCCCAAATCTAACAATACACTCCTCCCAGGTTGCAATACAAAACCTGACCTGCACCCAAGCAGACTGCCGAGTATCCCTCCTCCAGACTATATGCACGGCACTGCGCATCCTCTCAAAAACTGAAGACGAGTTATTGCCACTGGTGCATAAGGTGTGGTGGCACCTGGAAAAACGGCTTCTCAGTGACTACGTGAGTTATTTTTATTGTTTTCGGAACTGGAGTTTGAGTAATTTATATTTTCTGCCAACTACTCAATACTCATTTTCTTCACTTGTTTTACCAACTATTTGTAAATTACTATTGTCGGGTTTTCTCTAGATGTGAGTGGAGATATTTCTGTTTTCTTTTATTTTCTGCATTCCAATACGTTGCCACTCCTAGGACTTTCACGTGAAGTTGGAAGCACTGAAAGTGTTACAAACTATAGCTAAAGTATCCGGCTCCTTCATCAAACAAAGAGTCTCTAAAGACCTCCTTCCTAGCCTCCTCAGTTCACTCGAACCAGGTATTTTTAGAAACTTCTCTTTCAAACATGTGTATATATTTAATGGTTCTTTAATATTTTTAAAACGAAGTTGACTTTTAAGTTCTATAAGATTACGCTTTTCATGATGTCAATTCTATGATCTACTCTGAAATTACAATACCACACATTTTACTAACATTCTGCTCAGATAAAGTAATAGTGATACCAAAGCCCAAAGAAATCCCCCCTTTAAAAAAGCCCATATCATTCGAGGAACTCAAACGAATGACAATAAAACATGCCCAAGAAACAAAATCAGAGGTTTGTACATTCTTCTACAGTTCACATTCTCGTCCTAAAACGCTGAAATGTAGTCAGCTGATTTTTAAATACCTTAAATATTTGTATGGTTTTCTGTAAAACATGTTTCTCGTTTTCAGGTGCTGTTAACCCCAAGATCAGTGCAATTCAAAGTTCAACAGCGCGTTCTGAAAACGTTGGCAGTTTTAACAACATACCTCAAATTCCACGACCGGGACTTGTATAGAATTATTGGTGCCAGCTACAAATACCTTCACAAGTATGTACAAATATTTATTGAGCATGAACCACTGAAGTTTGCTTAGCAAATGTGTGCTTCGTTGGTAGAGATCGTAATGAACACTGATGACAAATACTACACGGTTTTAATGTTTTTTGTCCCCTGCGGGACATCAATCTTCAGTAAAATACGCTTGTTCGGGCGTTTATACCAGTCGGTTTTGAACAAAGTACTTAACTAACATTATCTACTAATTTCAGAGATATGCCGAACGAAATGCAGAGATACGCACTATACCTGTATCGTGCGTTAGTTGGTGTCAATCCAGATCTCATGTGGGTGGTATTCCACTCTCTCGGAGGTGAGAAAACAGTTCAATCTAATAAGCTTGTTCAATATTCAGTAATCTTACAGACACAACAACAACTTGGGTAGTCCTGCTGGGACGGTCCATGTTAAATTTATTAGTCACGTTGCGCGCGAAAACAAATCGATGACTAAAGCGCTGCCGCTAGCAACAGGGCACGTACGGTTTTATGCATACGGCGTTCCGCGTTGGTTGTTTTGCTCCATATTAGTACATTCTCGGTTCTTTTATGGCCTCTTGCCAAGTTTAGCCATAATTCGATTTGGATCATCAGGCAATACCCTTTCCGGACCAAACGTATGTTAAATGATAAGCCACTGGAATGGTAGTGTTTTCTTCTTGTTAAACGTAGTTCAAGTTCTAACATACAACTTCTATTGCAAATTTGCAATTGGTAACCTAAAACTGCAAACAGACGAAATTAAAAAGCTAACATTAATTTTCATCCAGGTATTCAGACTCCAATTCACGATCAAACTCCCATGACGCTCTCACTCTTTCCAAAACCTCCTCCCCTTCAAACGGCGGGGTACAAGAAAACATGCTCTGAGTGCCTTTACGGTCTCAGAACTTTGAATTGGTAGAGAACAAGAACGAGAAAATTTGAGGAACTAGCCGTTAACTTAATACATATCATGTTTTTTAAAGATTAAGGGGTTTTCCTTCATTTTCAAGATCTCCATAAAATTACAATGTGCTTTGTAATAACTTTATGAAATACATTTTCTTGCACTAAGTTGATGTGAAATATATGTTTGTGTGGGGGGGTACCAATGGCATAAATGGCATAATGGAGAATTGGCCAATAAAAATTTCCATTTATGCCATAAAACGTATGCCATTTATGCCATTTTTGATATAATACATTTCTATTTTCTTTATTTGTCATATGAATCTTTAACGATCATTCCAAGCGGTATAAAGCATAAAACATGTCTCTTATTCAAGTACTAATAATAATTTGCGAATTTAAAGTCAAATATGAAGACCTAAATTCATGGCATAAATGGAGAATTGGCCAATAACAATTTCCATTTATGCCAAAAAACGTATGCCATTTATGCGATTGGTACCCCCCCGTTTGTGTCCAATGATCCCCTGGAAAATGTTATTCACAAAGTTTTAAAAAGTTTCTTTATTTTGTTTCTGTGGCATTTTAATGGCCATACCATTTAAAAGGGCGGTTTAATGGGACACGATTGTTCCAGGCGCCTGGGGAAAAATTTCAAGCTACAGCAGGGTGTCATAATGGTTATATTGTATATCACGACGTGGTTGTGTCACGTCGTGACTCGTGACCTCAATTGTCAATGTCGTTTCACTAAGTTTCACTAGTATAGTTATCTTGAGCATTGTTAATGGTCTGGCCCGGCGCGCGCTACTTCGTAGCACGTGCCATCGTGAAGAAAGCGGCGCGCGCTACTTCGAATAAATTTAGACGAGTAACATCCGTCAACTAGTTATCCAGAATTCAGTTCAGTCTAAAAACGAATTTCGAAAGAAGGTAAATTTCGTCGATAATAACTATTGAAAGAGAAAATTTGTATTATTCGTGATTTGATTTGAAGCCTTTGGCTGCTTCCCCTGAATTCCGGGATGAGTCCGCTCGACTATATGAACTTTATTTCATTAGTTAGGGGAGAAAGAGAGTAGTTGTGCAGTATGGTGTAACCCCCCCCCCCCCCCCCCCCCCCCCCCCCCGGGCAATTGTTGTTTGAATGTGGGACAATTTGGAAAAGCTTAACTACGGTAGAGCTGAGCAGGGAGTCAGAATTATTGGCGTGTTTTAAATTTTATGTGTAATTTATGATGAAATCAATATTTTTCTACGGGTCATAACTTTATTTCTGAACATCAAAATTACAAAATTCAAAAACTGGTCTGTAGAAAATCGTTTGAAATTTTTCTTAGCTTCAGAATTTTGCGTTGGTGTACTTCAAAACCCATAAATTAGGCCGTTATTTAAAGGGTCGATTCCATACTTGGTTAGATTAATGAAGGAGTAAGGAATTTATGTGTAATAAAACTAGCATTTATGCACACGCGTTTTGCTCTAGAAACACACGGGGGCGCCATGAGCAGACAACGTCACTCACGCCACTCATATTTGTGCCCATCATATTTAACTCAACAGCTGTTTGGGGTGGTCCCTGGGACTATGGTAAACCTATTCCTGCACAGAAATACTTGTAGCAAATTAGATCCAAAGTAGTATGCTTATTATTGTCCTTAGCTATTATTTTGCATTTGAAACACGACTTTAGTTACTTAATCAGATACATAAATAAATGGCAATATCAATGAATTTATACCATAATTGAATGAAATAGGTGGCACAAGTCTGTTTTCGCGCGTGAACGTGACTTACTAAGTCACTTAGGAATGCGATTGGTCGACGCTTCAAGCTATTCTATTAATCGCAGTCGGTACAAACTTGTACCATCATTTCATGACAAGACTCAAGAGATCGTTTACGAATTAGTCAAATTTTGCACCCCTCTCCCTTCAGAAGCCACTTTTCTCATTGCTTTTGTGTAGAAATTACACTTCTCGAAACCACTTTCCCTATGCTGCCAAGTTCTTAATATAGTAATTTGTGAACGATCCCCAACTGTCATCAAATCATATTTCATTTTCAAATAGTTAAACGAAAAAATGTGTGATAAAAGTTAAGATCATGTTAATAAACTCTTAAATAATGATTCAGCCTAAAACTAAGATAACTTGTAAGGATAATCTGAATGTATTGCACAATTTAATTGACACCACCGAGAAAACCTTCAAATACATTTCACTCAGTCACTCAATTGATTTAGCCAATGATTAAATAGTTTATAATTATAATAAATTGAATCGTACATGGACAGTGGAGACTACCATGATATCTGTAATATTATAGTAAACATAATATTTAATTATTATTACAGCATCACTCTCATAAAGATTTACTATAATTATAAGTTATAATTTAACAAGTTTCCTCTGATACCAGTCCGTCTACTGTATATTGTATATTACAGTATAAGTATTTAATTAATTACATACTCAAGAAACTCGCGTTAATAGTATTTAAATGATCTTAATATATGACGTAGTGATAATGATGTAAAAAATTTGGACAACCATTCTTCATAATAATGCATAATAATCAACAAACTTATCTGAATTATACTGTACTCTGAAAAGTTCCGTTTATTAGCTTCATTCAGCTCTTTTCTCTAATCTGTGCGATAATTGACTTAGCGTCCGCTGATTGTCGATGACATGTAAATTCCTGAGTTATGAAATTGTTAACGGTCGTCAAGATTGCGAGTTATGAATAATTATCATTTCGTGATCAAACGATCAAATCACGATGGTATGAGATTATATTTATTGAGATATAGTAAAAGCTAGTTTATATTTATAATTAAGAAATATGCACTATTATAATATGAATGTGATCAATGACAACTTCATTTCAACTACCAACAGATGGGGAGCCATGACTTCAAGAGAGTATGCAAATAACACATTTTGAGAGTATGCAAATAACACAATAAATTGAAAGTCTTCAATTTGAACTTATATTCATAAATTAGCAGTTAATCAAAAATGTATCTCAAATATTTGACGTATACTATAGTGTATGGACACGTTCATTTGAGTTTGAGGATATTGGTAAACAAAAATAATAGCGTTTTTGACTATAGTGGCTTAATTTTGACATATATTAACTTAGCACGTTCAGAAGTTCTGAACATTAGCCACGTAGCTCATACTCCCATATGCACCGCTCAGAAAGAAAATCTATTGTTGTTAGGCACTATAATGTCACATTTTGTGTGACTTAGTTAACTGCAGTTGTCTAATTATCATTCCTTGGTCTGAAATATAGTAAATTAGGTCAATCTAACAATTATGATACAACATTGGTTAATGGGCACGGATCGAACGGTTACAAGGCAATATTTGGGTAACTTTGTCACACTCATGATACCATACCTCTATTCTACTGTGAGGTGTCCTAAAAACCCTTTCAACTCATTATTTGATGGTTGCTCTACCAATCATAGCCCTAAAATATGTTGTTTTGACTAGTTAGCTAATACAGGCACTTGGTTATTGGGAAATGAGGTTAATTCTGTCACAATATATGAAATTTTAAATTTTGGGCGAATTATTTATATCTGATTTTAGTTTGAAAAGTGGGAAAATTTTATATGATGACAATGTAGTTGATGCAAGTTAAGATCAGTTGATGTTTAAATTGTCACAAAAAATTATACGAAATCGTAAATAGATTAAAAACAATGATTATAGAATGAAATAGTCTCTTATAATAACTTTTATAATAACTGATGTGACAAAGTAAACATGTCTTGCCCCTATTTGGAAGATCTATATTCTATACCTTTATTAGAATATTGTCCAGAATATCAGAGCTTAAGTTTAACAATTTTAGGTTAAATTTGTCAAAGTCACTAAAAATGTGACAAAATTAACTTTTCATGCCCCAACAATTTCAAGATAGTGTGTAAAAATTAGCATAGGCTGCTTTATTACCTATATAAATCAATCCAAACTACAAAAAAATATATGTTAATGTGATGATGATTACCTAACTTTTATAATAACTGATGTGACAAAGTAAACATGTCTTACCCCTATTTTGAAGATCTATAACTCTATTAGAATTCAACATTCTTTCAGAAACGATTGGAAGAATATTGTCCAGAACATAAGAGCTCAATTTTAAAAATTTAGATTAATTTGTCAAAGACATTAAAAATGTGACAAAATTATTTTCCCTGCCCCAACAGTATCAAGATAGTGTGATAAAATTGGCATAGGATGCTTTATTACAGGTATATTAAAGTATTAATCGATCCAAACTACGAAAAATATCTTTTAATCTGATGACGATTACCTAACTCTTATAATAACTGATGTGACAAAGTAAACATGTCTTGCCCCTATTTTGAAGAACTATACCTCTATTAGAATACTATTTAACTTTATCATCAACAAAATTTCGATAAACTAGTTATTTTGCCAGCAAGGAGCTAACAGAGTTATAATAATTTTTTGTGACGAAATTACCCTATTTTTGACCATGTAGCGGTAGTTTAATTGTGACACTGTTAACATATTACCACCTGATAATGATTAATGTGACTGGTGCATGTTACTAAAAGTGTTGTTTGATCCATAGTACGTAATATAAGGGGTTTAAGCTGATATATCATTATTTGTTCAATTTCACACATGTTCAGATATCATCAAGATTATGTGACAAAGTAAACTTGGTTGTGCCTTCTGTGTTTTAATTCCTTACGACTATATGATATAATAACAATTCCCAGCACTTCCAGGCTATCAAATAAACTTACACTACTCAGCATTGCTTATCAGGGTGCCCTAAACATTCATCACATATTTTCTTTAATGTGTGACAGAGTAAACCTGAATGCACCATCTAACGAAAAAAGTCGTCAAATATGTAGGTAATGGTCATATGTACCCATCCAATCAACTGGACACTAAAAAATTTGGTCAAAAACGGCAGCAAGGGGTCCATATTTACTCCGTCACATGTTTATAGTGTGACAATGTAACCATCTCCGTGCCGGCCGTATTTAAGCAATATCTTATCACCTGATTAAGATATCGTTATGTGACAAAGTTAGCCTAGAGGATGAGACGATTATCCTAACCATCAAGGGTTTAAGTAATTTCATAGTGTGACAAAGTCAACTACACTGTGCCTTCTAATAGGGTCACTTATATTTACCAATATCCTCAAACTCAAATGAACGTGTCCGTATACTATACTTTTAGCAGAATTCAGAACCTTTTTCATGACTCACCGCACGTATTGTCTGATGTCGGCCCTGTTCTTAACAAGTGGGAGGTTATCTCCGAAAAACACTTCTTTTCTCGCACATCTGATATATCGTATCGTGTTTGCGATCATGTGCTGGTCGGAGGAGAGAGTGAAGGGGACAAATTGTAACTTTAGGACTTTAGGAGACGAGATTCATTGTAATGTATGGAAACGTAATTTTTAAATCTCAACTGTAAAACAGACGAACCATTTTCTCAAAGTTTATCAGTCCGTCGATAATCGTTTTGTTTCCTTCGAATATAAACGTCATATCTGAAATTTATAACATTATTCACTCAAATATCGTAAATGAACATAACTGTTAAATCTAGATATTTCCAAATTATAAGAATACAATTTTATCAGAAAGACAGTAACATAGTTACAGTAAAAATAGTTACCTTTCATAAGTAGGGGCATGAAGGGTATAAAGGGTGATTCTTGTTTTGACACAGCAAGTCTGTAAGTCCTGTGATTCCTCGTTGGATCCTGAACAAGGTTTATTTTACATCAAACTATTAATGTGGATTCTGGTTGGGAGGTGAGGCATATTTTTTTTGACACGTGACAGCAGTAAACCAATCAGCTTTCACTATTGGCTGATCAAACCCCAGAATCACTGTCGCATGTCAAAACCTCTGCCTCACCTCCCCGTGACCAGAATCTATTGATCTCAGAATTAATTATCGTGATTATGGCCTTGATCTGAAGATGAATCGTCAAGTCAGATATTCATTAGTTTCAACTCTATTAACAGCAGTTAACATACGAGCAACGTCTCGAACTCTTTGAACAGTTTCTTAAATTTGCTCGGTAGTTTCTCCCACGTTTGGCTTAGTCTGCTGATGGCTATGTTCGACAAACCCATGATTATTCCAAAGAACGCCATCATGTTCTGGAAATCTCTGCAGCTGAAAAATAGAAGTTAATTAGAAGTTAATTTTCATTAAATCAAACGATCAGCATAATTTTCAGTCAATATTTACTCACAACTTTTTTTTACTCACTGCTGAGCGATTTTGATAAACTTGCGAAGAATGTGAACTCGTTTACTCAGTAGTGGAGTGAGACATATCTCAGATATGACCCAATGCTGCACCTCATTGAACCTGAGGAATGAAAGTGAGTTAATGATAAGGTAAAAAGTAATAGCTGTTAGTTATTGAAATTGTTGAAAATTGAAATTTATTGATGAAGGTCAACTGTGTGCGTAATTTATCGAACAATAATCATCATGGAAGTTGTGACATTTTAATAGAACTCAGAGTTGTATTTCTTACGATGGAACTAAACTATTGTCAGCGGCAAACAAATTTATACCTTGCAAGAAAACAGTCAAGATTGCCGACTATCTTTCCAGGGAAATGATTCTTCTTGAAGACACTAAAGACAAACTCGCCCTCAAAAACGCAGTTGAACAACTCAAAATCGTACAGCGTCATCTGAAAAATAAAAAAATTTAACTTTAAATTTTCAATAAATATCACACTGGTCTATCAGATTCAGTGGTAGGATAACGCTTCCATTATATTACAAATCTATACCCAAAGTTAACTGTTAAGGACCAATTAGTAGTGATCACAAGAATAAAATTGTGATAAAATCCACCTGTAAAGCGAGCTCTCTGGAACTCATGATCTCCAAGTCGTTAAAACTACTTGAATTAGGCCCCTCCTGCTCTTGTAGAGGCTTCAACTTCTCAATCCCTCCTTTTGGGGCTGCGAACAGTCTGAGGGGAGTTAATCAATTAGTAGGTAATTGCATTGATTAAAATAGGTAATAAAACTTATTGTAAAATCTTCAAGATCATCTGAGTACTATGTTAGTACTAATATTGATCAAACTAGGAATTAAAGGCTTATAACATACCTGCCATTGTGACTAATAGTAGTGATAATACAAGTATCACTCTCCTTAAAGATAACCTTTTCTCCCGTACTCTTCATTTCAAATATCACACAATCCTCAGGATTAACTGACAGTTTCTCTGATGCTTCTTTTGCTATTTCAGAAACTGACGATCCTGAAGTGGGGTACTGTTTTAAATTTTCAGTGAAATTGTCAATAAGATTTGATAAAACGAGTTTGTTTTTTTGGAGTCTACGGAATTTTAAATTAATTTTAAATGGAATTTTAAAATTCTTAACATTAGCAATTAGCATTGCTTCTCATTGATAATGATATGAGTCGACTCCAGAAAAGAATTTAACAATAAACATAAGATGTGACTCCAGAACTATTAGTTGTTTAATACAACAAGAGTAGAGGAGTTGGGGAGGGGGGGGGGGCAACCACAGCTACGCTCGTGCCAATTTGACCAACACTTGGGGGAAAATGGGCATGATTTTAAATAATTTCTGGAATAGCAAGATACGACATAACTACAATTTTGCTCAACCAAATATACCATCAGGCCAACTTAACATTCTTGCAACTAAAACGCACCAAGTCCAAGTTTCAGAGTGCAGTAACTGCGGTCAGGATAGTATACTTTAAACTTGACATCAGTGTTGGGACACAGTGGTTCCCGCTTCAAAGTCCTGTTCTCTTCACTGTCATCAAGAGTGGGTCTTGAGATACGCTGTCTACTGGTGGAGCTGATCCTCGCCTGTAGGGTACTGTTAGTAACTGCAGGTATAACCACTGGTAACCACTAGTAACCACTGGTAACCACTGGTAACCACTCATGTTAACCTGGTTACTAATACTAACTCTAAAAGTTGTTTACTAGCAGCTGTAAGTTGTTGGAATGTATGCAGATAAATAATTTTAATGTCTCTCTTTGACTTAGCAATGACCGTTCATAGCTCGGTCTGAAAGAGACAATAAAATAAGAAGTGCTTATGTTGGAACGGATTATAATTTTAATAAATAATCATTAATCATAATTTCCAATACTGGAATTAGATTTAGAATTAGATACAGATAAAGCTGATCACAAGAACTGTATATCGAATATTAGTTTGATATTTGAATTAGTGCTGAGAGGATTTTCTGATATTAAACCTATAACCAATTATTACAATGCTACTAAAAACTAGCAAGATTCAGCTGGCTATAAAAAAGGGCATCTGCCTCATTGTGGAATTAGTATCAAATCATGAACATGCTTAGCTATCTAAGTAAAATGGAGGATTCCATATCGTCTAGAGATTGAAATAGAGATTAGCACATTCCGAATTCCTAAATCAAACAAAATTTAAATCCCTAGTTTTTGATGCTTCCAAAAATAATCGGCACTGAAATCAGGATTAGGAGCGAAGTTTTGAATGAGTAAATCAGGCATAGCAAAGTGACACATCAGTTTTAGTGACGTCATCACCCGATGTGACGTCACCACTCGATGTGATGTCATCACTAGTGGGAAAAGCAAAGCATTCGGACTCACGAGATGTGGAGAATGTTCTATCCACAGCATGGAACTGGGCCCTTCTTTCTACACGAGAAATCAATCATTTTCCTAAACTAAGATGCTTAAAATCACGTGATATATTCTAAAATTCTAAAATATAGACCAAAGTTTTAAAACATAATCAGTCTTTAGTAAAATAGTGGGAACTTTACCTTCCTGGTGGTGTTTTTGTGAAGGAGCAAGTTGTCAGAGTTCTCTAGGCCCCTCTCAAATTGGGCCAGAAGACTCAACATTCCATCCGAATGAAGGGCAGACCTCAACTTCTGAAAAGTTCTAAAATAAAGCTGAATAAATTTGAATGTACAGTTTTTGGATATAATCTATAAATCAATTGTCAAATATTACCCACAAATTGTTTCGTTAAAACGAAATGTTCTAAATGATTTCCAAACCCCAATAAGCGGGAGCAGCTCATTTTCTTCGCCCATTTTCTGCGGGATGAGTTCCACCCACCTCAATACCGTTCTCACTACCCTGTATAAACGGGAATAATAATTTTTTGAGAAGATTTTCTGGTAAAAATAAAGTCTGTTGGACGCAACTCTTCATATTTTTAAATCGGAAACAACCTTTCTAGATGCTAAAATGCACTGGTCCTTGACCTTCGAATCGTTTCTCTTGACGACCGAAATTTGTCAACTCTTTAGTTTTTGGTCCCAGTCGCTTTATTTAACGCCGGTAAAATAAAGGCAAGGATCCTCCAGTAAAAAGCAACCTGATTTTCTTCTGCTCGGTAGCTTTCAAATCCAAACATCCATCATCCCCGTTAAACCGGTCCTCTGTCTTGACAGTCTCGTTGAAATAGGACATGAGAAGTGAACAGAGCCTGTCGACTGTCATAAACACATTGAATGTCAGGAAGAAGTCCTCCATGAAATAGTCTGAAGAAAATGGGTTGTCACAAACAGGAAATATTATTTTGGAGATGGGAGAGATGGGGGGCCGGGGGGCCAGGGTGCCGGGGTGGGGAGGCGGGCCGGGCCCGCCTGGTTCCTTTATACTTTCATAGCGTGTATTATTTTATTCATCATTGCACATTGAGCTGCTGAGTGGAGTGTTAGCTGTTGCCGATCGGGAGAGATTCGAAGATCGAGGGACAATAGTCGTACATGTTCTGGAATTGGTAATTTAAGTTGGGTATCTTAGTTTGGGGCGAACATCGTGTCTTAGCATTAGTAGAATAATGTAGTTGTAGGAATCTTCATTTAGCATTTTTTAAAACCTCAGTTTGAATGAAATAGCAAAGTTTATTGGGGTGGTAATTTTGGGGTATTGCCTTTCTATTTAAACCATTTAAACTTAATTTAATTATTAGGTACCGATGATAACTTTTAATGCTATAAAATAGAGTTATTACTATGATTAAGTATTCAATCCTCAATCTAGCGTTTTAATGTATCTGAAAGTTAATGCAATGAAAAATATGAACGAAGAATCGTTTTTCCGAAAACTATTCTTTAAACCGTTATCGTTCACGATATAAAACTCGCAGGCGGCCCCCGTGCTCAAAACACGCCCGACTAATTTAACCAGACGTATCACGGACTCCGTGCTAAAAAGACACTTGACTAATTTAACCAGACGTAGCTGGCACCAGATAACATCGGCCCCATTATAGTTTATAACAAAGAGCTGTCATCCTCAAATAGTTTCACGCTAAATTTACCTCAGTTTTATATTTTTTAGGTTTTTAATTTTTGGTTAAAATCTTTTTAGAACATGAATATATGGAGAAGTGACAAAAAACGTTTCAAAAATTTCTTTGACTAAAAAGAGCATTTTCCCAGATACGGAATTATCAGAAACAGTTTCACAGGTGTGCAAGTCTAGACATGTCACAGGTAGATGGCATGTTGTACACATCAGGTTCAGGTCTCACAAAACATGATCCAGTCGAGCACGCCCTTCAGGCCCAGGTCTATTCTAATAGATAGCTTGGTCTTTAGTCTTTCAAATTTATAATTTGGTCAACAACAGCTGTTTATTTAGAGGTGACCATTATTTTCCATTATTTTCCGTGGTGTTAGCACGAATTTTGGGTTGAGCTATCTGAAAGTATCTGTTTAATCACTTATTCTAGGTCGGCACCTCTTCATATAATAGGGGTATTTCACATATATAGTCCGAGACGAAAGGGAAACTCGTTAGTTGTATGTGTTAAAAGCGATTTCTCGACGGTTATCACCTCTCTAGATGATGCTTTAAACATTTGGCCACTTTTGCATTTTTTTAATAAATGCAATAGGGGCGTTTTCAGCCACACCCTTTTTCAGGGTTTTGCGGTAACTCGAATTTTTGTAATTCAGCCCAAGGACGTCGTAGAATGTGCTTAATAGCCATATTTATCTACAACTTATGAAGCAATATATATTATATACATTAAAATGCTTATTTTCGGAAATATGGCCGAAAAATGGGTTTGTCTTTTTTTAAATCTCAACATTTATTTTACTTCGGTCACTTTCAATACACCATAAATTGATCGTGGAAGACACCCACTATCCAAGATGCTACGTCTAAGCATAAAGCCAGAGCTTTCTTTCCAAACCCGCCCTTCCCCTCGGCTGCTGACGTCATAACACACATAACTCCGGCATGCGCAGGGATTAATTGTTCAGTTTTCCAGCTCAAACTTTTGAAGCTATCACTATACATACTTAAATATAAGTGTAGACTGTTCCTCATCACGTCGAGACCAATGGAATGGATATAATTAGTTGGTGCACAATAATATCAATGGTGGTATGTCAACAAACTCCTCCCTAGTGAACCTATAATAGTACTAATTATAGTACCCTTAACCCTATACTAATAGTACTAATACTATATACTATGACTAGGAGGTATTAGGACATGATGTGATGAGGGAAAGTATCGACTTGTTCCGAAAAACAAAGACGTGAATGTTATTAAAAGTTTACGGGTACAAAACCAATATAGATACAAATTTGAAGGAGAGGCGAGAGCCAAGTTTGAGCTAGAATATGAAACAATTGCACTGCTACAATTAAAATTTGTATCTGATGAGGGCGGTAGTAAACTGACCACAGCTATACTTAATAAACCATATCATTTCCATTTTATTACTAAACTTTGAACTTATTTTCGATTTTTCACGTTTTGAGTACGCCTTGACTTTGAGAGTTGATCAGTACGATTAGTATAAGTAAGTTCTTCGTTTAGAAATGCTGACGGGTGTAGGTAATTTGCTATATACAAATGTAATTAGGTAATTTTAGACCCCCTGGTTCTCCCGCTCCCTGTACACATATATAGCTCAAGTGCGTAGAATTATTCTATTCAATAGTGCGAGGATGGGGGTCTGGCAAAGCGTACAACAGTGACTTATGATTTGATTACAGATACTTCATATTAACTATTACGTTTGCTGTGCTTGTATTCGTAGGCTGTATGCACCATTTCTCGAGAAAGAAGGATTTTATGGTGCTTGATACCTACCATCATACGCGATATATCTTGAATATTACTATGACGTCATATCTTAATCTTATAATTTATAAATTATTGATCATTCAAATTTTAAATTTTAAATGTCTAACCTTATATTATTTCCATAGTAATCTAAATCTGGGTTTAAAGTACAATTTGAGTGTAGGCTGACCTGCATTCCCAACTTCAAAATTAGCACGATGAGCGATGAAGAGAATCTGATTGAACCTACTGTTGACCCCACTACAGCTATTAAAAAAGCTTGTCTCTTCGTGGCAGTATGCCTATTTCTACCCTTGGCACTTATCACAATTTTTATGCCTTACTCCTTCCAGCCCTTTTACAACGAAGCTAGGGACATTTCACCAGCGTGGACTGGAGTGATTCTCAGTTCCGCTTCGTTCGGATCAATTGTGGGACAAACGGCCATGCCCCCCTTTCTCATGTCAAGATTCAGAACTAACCATGTATTGTCTGGCACGGCTTTCTGCTACGGAATTGTCATAGCCTCTTTTGCGATCACTGATTTGGTTGACGATAAAAATGTTTTCACGATCCTGTCAGTAGCCATTCGAATTGTATTGGGAATCCTTGGCGGCTCCATGAACACCACTGTCTTTGCAATACTTTTGTCCATTTACCCGAACAGTGTTGGAGTGTCCACTGCGATTGCGGAAACAGTTCTGAACGGATCTCTAGCCAGTGCTCCATTCGTTGGGGCTTTGATGTATTCACACATTGGGTATAAAGGTGCTGCCATAGTTCCAGCTACGGTAGTGTTTCTCAGTGGCATACCAGCCATGTTTATTCCTGTGAATCTTCAACATGAGAATACGACGGAAGATGGGATTACAGTAAGAAATGACGAAGAACCGTTAGAATGGAGTACAAAGAAAGAAAGGATTCCTTTAAAAATGAGTGAGGAAACGACAGATGATGATACAAAGACATACACATCCCTGTGGACTCCCATGCTGCTATTCCCAATATGGCACTTGGTCACAGCTCAGGTGCTGATGACGTATCACATGCCTATCATCCCTCTGTACGCAGAGACGAGGTTTGGAGCGGATGTTGTGTGGTCAGGAACTGCTCTGATGACTGACACTGCTGTGCTCTGTGCTGTGTCCCCAGTTCTCGGAGTTCTGGTGGACAAGTTTTGTCCGTATAAGATGTTGATAGCTTCAGCTGTTTGTCTACCTCTTGCTTACATCTTCATAGGTCCACTGCCTCTCCTTACCTTCATCTGTCCCTCTAAAGTACAGCTAGTTATTGCTCTGGGTTTCCTTGGTTTAGCAGTCCCCATGGCGGGCATCCCTGTTCTAGCTATTCTGTTTGATCAATACCGTAGAAAGAACCAGGGTGAACTGCCACAACATGTGTTCAACTCACTGATATCACTGTACACCGGGGCCTATGGTGCTGGAGCTGCTGTGGGATCAGTCGTGTCAGGGTTCATCGCCCCGTACGCTTCGTTTGGTTGGTCCACTGGAGCTCTGGGTCTACTTTACATCGTGGAGTCTGTAGCTTGTGTCATATATTGTCTGATAGCTAGACGGCCCGGTGTTCAGTCGCAATATGAAGTTTTAAATTGATTAAACCTGTCGAACAGCTTAGTTGTACGGAGTCTATTTTAATATTTATTTATATAATTTAAGTAGTTAGTATCATAATGAGAGCAATCAAAGCTCAGATTTGGTTGATAGTTTGAGTTGGGTGATGGTTTGAGTTGGGTATCTTAATTTGGGGCGAACATCGTGTCTAGCATTAGTAGAATAATGTAGCTGTAGGAATCTTCATTTAGTATTTATTTATTTTAACCTCAGGTTAAATAAAATAGAAATTTTGTTTAAGTTTATTGGGGTGATAATTTTGAGGTATTGCCTTTCTTTCTAACCATCTAAACTTCATTTAATTCTTAGGTACCGATGATTAACTTTTAATGTTATAAAACAGAGTTGTTAATATGATTTAGTATTCAATCCTGAATCTAGCGTTTTAATGTATCTGAAAGTTAATTCAATGAAAAACATGGATGAAGAATCGTTTTCCTGAAAATCATAAATTTACATACAAGAAGCCGGAAGCGAAGGTAAAAAATACGGAGGTTTGGAATTATATTCTTAGATACGAATCATTTACTTCGGTATGACATTTTGATGAAGACCTGAACCCAGTAAGTAACCATTGTGGTTTTACGGATGCGTAGTAACTGGGGCAGTGGGGCACGAGGTTCTGGGGCAGTGGGGCACGAGGTTCTGAGGCAGGACGACGAGAACCGTCGTAAGTTATCATGACTAATTTCATGAGTAATACTAAAGACTATTGAGACTAGTTACTCACCATGATCGTCGTCATCCCGACAATCCACACAGCTGTCCATGATGTACTCTACCATCTTCTCGGGCGTTCCCGCCATTATGGTGTACTTGTTGCTGAAATAAACTTTCATGTAATTTATGTTTGAGGTACTGTATGGAGTATGGAAACGTTCGTACTTCGTTGCACAATAATACGAGCCCTGAACACGTGACTTGAACACGTGACTTTTCTTAGACGGTCACAGTTGAAGTGTTACGAGAATGCACACTAAGCTACAACAACAGGCGAGTCATTTTAGGGTCTAGAAAATATTTTCCACCGGTATTTTGTCGAGCTGAACATCCTACACCCTTTGATCCTTTATTTGCTTGAATCTAAAAAATTGCGAGGTGGAGGCCAGTCTTACACTCGATTTTCAGAACACGCGATTGAAAATCGCTCGCACAATACAATTACGCATAATCGCTGACCTTAGACCGGCGATAATTTCGGCTAGGGACAATATTTTTCCATGGGACGAAAAGCAGCTGGTAGATATCACTCCCCTCTATCAGAAACAACTATTAAGTCAATTTCGAAAGAATTTTTATGAAGACCAAACCCCCCGGGCCGGCCCCCTTATCACATGACAGACGTCTGGCGCAGCAAAATGTACGCCTAGTTCCACAGAAAGGGTACGGTCTCTATTGCGAAGGAGCAGACTTCTGTCCTCACTGTTGCAATGTTTCGCCACCTCATTTATCCAAAACCGATTACTTATTCCCTACGATATTTTTACCTTCAGCAATGGTAGGGAAACAAATATTTACATGATGATTTGAAGAATATTAATTTAGAGACTTGACGAAATGTAACAGGTGGGGCAGAGCTAAGTCTGTCATTCCGCTGCAGTTTATGAACATTATAGCCTGGGGTCCCCAGGTAAGGGCAGTGTTTAAGGTGTCTTTAATTTAATTAACTTTTAATAACAGAGAAGGAACCACTTAGTCAATGAAGCGGAAACTTATCTGCTTAATAAATAGATAACTTTATCTGATTAAGCGCAGATATTCATGTCAAACAGCGATAATATCAAAATGTTCGTTAATACTCAAGTCTGATTTAGTAACTAAATTTTAGTTAATACAATTTCGAGGAAAGGAACTCACACGACGAGTTATTATATCTATTCAAATTACCTTTGAGATCCATCTGAACGACTCAGCTTTTCAAGCACCAGGACATCTTTCCCATTTTCTTTTAGTCTCTCAGTCTTTGCTTCAACGTCCCGCAAGATCCGGTTAAAATCCTCCTTGTCGACCCTCAAGAAGTGACACCGCTCGTCCCTGGTTAGAATTCAGCGATTAAATCTCAATTTATTACAGATTCGTTCGGAGTTTTGCGTGAGGATACTGAGTGCAGTTACAGCCAGTATGTCATATATAATCAGAAACAAAAACAGAAACAGAAACTGACAAAAGAACATCATATAGAGTTAACACTCTGTTAGTTTCCTGGATTATGGCACTGAGAAATTGGCACCCTGTTTCAACTTGTGTATAATCAAAATTATGTACCGGCACGATCAGCCACTTAAATTCCGAACAGTATCATTTTCATGTGCACGAACCTGAGAATAAAATGTACTTTCTGCGCGTCCAATAACCTTAAAATAACGCTGGCTGCACGTGCACTAACCTGAGAATAATGCTGGCTGCACGTGGAGCGTCGTTAACGAGAGCAAGTTTACCAAAGTCATCTCCTTCGTGCAGCTGTCCAACGACACCCTGAACAATGTAATCAATAGCAACTTTCTCAAATATTTCTTCTTTTCTAGCGTTTCATTTTGAAAACGTTCAGCAGAATCGGTATGTTTATTGTCGCCTTATAGTGAATGATTGCCAAGTAAATGATCAGAAAGAAGTAAGAAGCGTGTTAAAACTGTGTTAAAACTGGGACACGATGGAGATTATTCGGTTCTGTTCGGTGGATTTTTACTGTTTCAGTTCGGCTTGATTAGACAGTTAGACAGTAGACGAATATTGTCCCTAAAACTGATAGTGATATGTAAATGGAATGTGATAAAAATCATCCTCATTTAACTTACATGATAGAGTTTGTCATCAATTCCATAACATTATTTTGATAGTACATAACGTCTTAAACCGCTTTTACCAAATTGTCACCTCTGTCAAGGTTTTGAAGGTATTCAATAAGTTGATTTAAACTAATTTTTGTTCAGTTCAGTCCGGTTTCGTATTTTAAACAAGAATCATGTTTCTTATTTTTGGTAACCATCAAAATCGTGAGCTTTTGTGTAAAAATAAAACTCAGAATATCTTACTGACTTGTAATTGAACTCAGAATATCATCGATAAAAATAATTGTTATCATATACAAGGACGAGCTGATGGTTAAAACAAGAGCAGACTGGTAAAAACTTTATCTACATCAATTAACATATTATATGGTTTACAAATTATATGATATTAATATTATACAAATTTGTACAGTAAAAAGACAAAAATCTGCTGTTAAATCCCATAATGTATATACATGGATAAGGTGTATCTACATAACGAACGGAGTACTGTATAGCATGTGATCAGGTTTTTCAGTCACTTGTTTTGTCTGTTAATTAACTGGATTAAAATTGTAAAGTTTAAAATCGTATTAATAACATCATCAAAGCTTCTTTTCTAAGTTTAGCTTTTAAAATCAGTCATATTTCTGTCAATTTTCACTCTTAAAATCACATTCCACTGTCTAATCCTCCTAGTTCTGCTTACTCATAAAATCACATTCCAAAATCTAGTCCTCCCAGGACACAAAGACATGCAGGAAAGGTGGAGCGCAGGACATTTTCCCGGACAACAATTCCCCTCTGGAGTTTCCTTTCTGCATGGTGAAGATCACGTCTATTTCCTCGGGCCTCTCGAGTTTCCTGCACTGCTCAATGAAATCCCCATTAATTGCACCGGCGAAGGAGACGCTGAGTTTCCGGAGGTGCAACTGATTGCTGGAGATCATGGTATAGATGTGGCTGTCTTGTAGAGAATAGCGAGTAGGATCTTCCAGCAACAGGATTTCCAGAGATCTCAATTTCAGGATGATGTCCGAAACAAACAGATCGAAATCAAACAGATCAACATCAAACATCTCCCCCTCCCCCTCCCCCACAATCCTAATGCCGTGTAGGACGAGCTTAGACAGGTTTGTAAGTTTAGCCAGGGGTGTTAGGTTGGTGGCAGAGATCAGAACACATCCTGTTAAGTCTAGGGTCTTCAGCAGGGGACACATCTGGGGCAGGGATCTTAACATGGTCGGGTCTCTGTCCAGGTTGAAGCAATGTTGCAAAGACAGGTTAGTGAGGTTTGGTGTGAGTTCGAGAAGTGGGAATACAAATGAGAACTTCAGGCTGTTTCGAGCGTACCAGCTGCTAACTGCTAGATCTCGCATACCATCAAAACATTCGATATCTGACTTGTCAAAGTCAAGGACCTCTGCATCGGGGAATCCGGTGATAGAGACCGTTTCTAAAGTTTTTGAGGAGTTCTTCAGAATGGTGTGGAGGTTTTCTGGGGTGAAGTCACTGCAGCGATGCAATGAGAGCTTCTTTAGACCACCCCGAGGCAAAGACTGGGTGATGGAATCACCAGTTACAAAGAGGTTGTTCTCGAGGGTAACAGAGGATAATTTTGGTATCTGTCCTATAACAATTGCCAACAACTCCTCTGGCATGTTCCCCCCGACATGAAGAAGCCTCAGAGTTTTAGGCAAGGAAATCTGATAGTAAGATAATTTAGATCTCTGAGGATAGTTTAAGAGTAGCTCTTCTAAGTTATCACAACACCCCACAACTTGAAGCAATCTCTCTAAGTCATAGTAAACTTTATAGTTGGAGCACACTCTAAGATCCAACGATTTTAGTCCCTCCTTACAAAATCCTAGCAGTTTCTCAACACCCTTCTGCCCCAATTGCAACCTCTTGCTGTTCAGTTTTCTCTTGATCTCACTGCAGTATAAATGACTAACGGAGTTTAGTTTGTAGAGAGCCATCTCTCTCCAGGTCTTGCAGACATTCAGCAGAGGAAGCAGATCTACAATATCCAGGTAGGGGACGAGGATGCTGAGTGAGTCATTGGTCAGTGTCTGCGGCTTTCTTAATGGGGAGGGTCCAGTTTCTTTATCCTGCAAATGCAAACATTCTTCAGCTTCATTATTCTGCAAATGTAAAGATTCTTCAACTACATTATTCTGCAAATGCAAAGATTCTTCAGCTACATTATTCTGCAAATGCAAACATTCTCCAGCTACATTATTCTGCAAATGCAAACATTCTCCAGCTACATTATTCTGAAAATGCAAAGATTCTTCAGCTACATTGTTCTGCAAATGTAAAGATTCTTCAACTACATTATTCTGCAAATGCAAAGATTCTTCAGCTACATTATTCTGCAAATGCAAAGATTCTCCAGCTACATTATTCTGCAAATGCAAACATTCTCCAGCTACATTATTCTGAAAATGCAAAGATTCTTCAGCTACATTGTTCTGCAAATGCAAAGATTCCCAAACTAGATTCTTCTGCAACTGCAAAGATTCATCAGCTACATTATTCTGCAAATTATGCAAAGATTCCCCAACTAAATTTTCCGGCAAATGCAAAGGTTCCTCAATTAGTCCATTCTGTAAATGCAATGAGCGTTGATTTTGATTGTATCCATTAAGAATTGACTCGTAGATCTGATTGTTGTCTGGCACATGACGCAACCAGTCTTGGTCTGTCATGGTGGGACCACTAATTGAGATTATTGATTAGTACGGCTGAAGGTAAACTTTTAACAATTTAACTCTCACTCCTTACTGAAAGAAAAGGAATCACACAAAATAAACGAACTAACAACAACAACAACAACAATTCAAGAAAATTGAGCTAACAAGGAAATGTATACTTAATTGAGTAAATAAAAAATAATACAATTTTACCGCGATCAGCAAACAAGTGAGTGTAAATGCAATGAAATACGATACTAACAAGTTGCCTTATTGTCCTAATACTAACAAGGTTTTTTTTGTTGGTATTAGGACAATAGGGCAAGAGCTATTCTTAGAATTATTTGTAAGGTGAAAGTTGGGATAGAGTTAGGCTCATGGTTATTGGTTAATTGTAAATGTAAAGTCTTAGTATAAAGGGGCAGGGAACCATAATACTATGTCACACACCCGGGAGCAGGATTTATAAAAATACCAAACGCAAACTACAAATTGAACAATGTCATCTAGCAACCCGGAAATTCAGACATTTACTCGAACATTTTCAGTTTTGCTTTCGTATTTTCCACAGTTCTATCACTGCAGGAGCACACATATATACAAGAGCACATGGACAGCCTAATAATACTATACTTCTGTAATCTAATATTATGAATGCTCAGTTCGCATAAAACATAATATGTACCTGTAACCTACAACGAAATATGACATTAAAGAAGCCGGATGAAAACATTGACTATAGTACGGTGCTAAAATAGCTACTCCCTTAAAGGATCTAGGGTATACTCAATACTCAAAGTATACTTTCGTTGGATCCAGGTCAGTTTATTAAAACTTTTTCCCAGCAAATAACATAATATAATGATTTTGTACACAAGTCATACTAAATTTTAGTAAAGCCTAATAAATCTTCAAAGTTTATATACAGGGGGCCGGGGGGGGGGGGGGGGGGGGGGGGCAAAAGTCAGTTTACATACGCTGGGTCTTATACCACCACTGTGTTTCATATTTGAGACCTGTAACTTTGCAGTGGCCAGATCACAGATGGTATACTGTAACTACTCATTCGAGGATTCCGGCGCCATAAATAATATATTGGGGGATGACCATATTAAAGTATATTGAAATGTAGGTTTTTTTTTCTGAACTGTAAATGTAAGTATCTACAATTGAGCACTCAATATAATGATTTAAATCCTATATAGGACGAATCAAGATGCTGGCATTTCTTACTGGTTTAGTGGTAAATTACGAGATGAGGAAAAAATCATACCTTAGTACCTTATAAAGCAATGAAAGGCATTAGTTTGGTCAAATCAAACGAAACATATGATTATATATTATTATTATATCAGATAATAACATTATATAATATTATTATATTATCTTCGCTCTAGTAGCAGAGTGTAGTGTCTCTGAGGCCCAATATCATTTGTGATTTTCGGCTCATGATCGATAAGGCCCAAGTCTGTCCCTCAGGCGTGACGTCCTGCAGGGCACATCACCTGAACTTTTACTCCACGTTCAATACTGGTTTAAGATGTCTAACTAATCGTTGAAAAGATGCATGTGAGCCATGAGTCCAAGTAATTATCAAATATTTATCTCAGCCACTACCCAGTTCCTGACATTTCAGGGTATGTGACCCCTATTGCCTATGAAGGATTGTATCAAAACCATGCAATAGCATGTAAAGCCCTATCGATAGCCACAAACCGCATCTTGAAATTGTAACGTGAAAATGTGCAACAAAAAGACAAAATAGAGATTCCTGGTCACTTCATGTGTAGAGCTGCGATCAAGATTGTGAAGATAGCAAATAAGTGGGCTTCAAAGTGCAATGTACAAGTAAGTGCAGTTCATTGCATGGAACACTGTTTGACAATAGACACATCAATTTTGCGGAGTGTATTGTATATATCCCATTATACACATATCTCATCACATCATGCACAATGCACATTGCACATATCTTATCATATATATTATCATAAATTATCATTACATAAAACATATCATGTTGTGTTGAATGAATGTAACATTGTTAACAGGCGAAATTACACTACTCAGATACGTGCCCCAGTATAAGTTGGAGACGGAAGAAGATCAAACCATCTCACATTATAAATCATGTTATCTTCATTTCAAAAGGATATTACCAAGTACAGTGGGTACAAAGTTTTACTATTTTATTTTGGTGGCATGTTCAAGATCATTAATACTTTAATATACTAGACGTGAGAATTTGTGTAACTTAATATTGGTGAAGTTCTAGTAGATCATGACTCATGAACGATAACTGTGCATCAGCACAACATTGAGCTCCTGTTGGCATCCAGCCAGCTAGTAAGTAGTAGTAGTTCTTATCAATTTAACAATGTAGCATGCACGTGATATGCACGTGATATGATGTGCGAAATGAAACAGAACATATCAGCTACAAAGCGCGGAGAGAACACAGAGAACTAACACTGGTAAGAAAATAAAACTGTTAAAAAACTGAAATAATAAAGATCTGGACGAAACGTTCACAAACGCAGCTGAGAACGATACACAAGCAAAAGCGAAAGTTAAGCAACTGTACTCCTTTATTTATAACCGGGGAAGGACACACTCTACACTGTTTATCAGTGTCTGAGTGTAGAGAGTAGCAGACTAGCTGGCATCGTGTGCATTCAATGAGGTAACTAATGTTACTGATAAGCTAATTAGTGAAATTTTGCACGACAAACCTTTATTTTATATGGTAATTAGGACTCAAGTTGCATCATGTTATGTTCCGTTGAGGATCTGGCTCTTTTCACAAGTAAAGTGTCAACTGTCAATGATATCACAATGGAAGCTGCAGAGTGCAGAACAACAAGCAACAAACAGGGTACATTGGAGAGGTCTAATACACCGGGAAAAGGAGTTACTGTATGGTGCAGGCCACTCCAACGACTAGGAGACCTTTTCAAGTAGGTACAAGTAAGTACAATGATATCACAATGGAAGCTGCAGAGCAACAAGCAACAACAGGCTACATTGGATCGAGGTGTACAAGTAATTAAGTAATAATTGCAATCTGTGGTGGTGAGCCAGTTCATTTTTTCATTGTTTTGAGTCTCGGGTCAGTAAGTCTTGATAGGTCCGGGTAAGTCTTGGTAAGTCCTGGTAAGTCTTGGTAAGTCCTGGTAAGCTTTGGTAACGACTTAACAAGACGAGTAAGTACAACGATAAACATGGAGAAAGCAGGTTAACATGGTCGGAATCTATACTGTGTTAAATACTTATTAGAAACCTTACACATAAAGTTGGCAACAAGCCAGAGCGGAGAAGCATTATATTACAATTACGTAACATGTTATAAACAATATTTGTAATATGAACTATTAGAATGACCATTCTTACATCATCAAAAATTCTAGAAACACCGAAACGGAGTCTTACTATTACACGACAGAGATTATTCGGCGGAAAGAGATTGGTAAAGAGACTTACTACTGAATTATTACAGCTTTACAGCATAGTAATGGAAACAGATGTTTCAGTTCGCCAGCATATATATACATACTCCGATAAATTTTCTAGCTTGACGAAATTTTAAGAAAGTTTGAGATACATTGTATATCTACGGTATATTGGCACGAAGCCAAGCCGGTTTAACTGTAAAATTAAAAGGACCCTTGGCTCCTTGATCTGATCTTTAAGGTGCTACATAAGTGAAGCCGTGTTTGTCTTGACAGAGGAAGAAAATTAACAACTATTCACACTCAAATAACACGAATAATAGCGACTATTTTACATGATTATCATTGACAGTGAACTCCAGACATGTGGTATGAAGGATTAATTACTCAATTAGTAAGCAGTAACACGAGTATTTTTGTTTACGTTGCATTCGTTAATTTCTTTGAATGGAACAACAAGAAATAATGATTAGTGAACAATTAAGAGGGAAAATAATTGATGTGATGTTATAACAGAATTTTCTTGACTGGTCACGGTTGATTTTATGATGTTTTTCCCTACAACTGTGTAATAATGGAATACTTCTAGAAAACTGGATTCTAACAATTTCGGGTACAACATTTGTAAGAAGACTTATTTGTTATCTGTACAGTGAGACCAGTATTATACTGCAACAAGAGTGGGAATACGCTGATGATGATGAAATTGAAGACGGATTAAGAAATTCGTTTAGTTGCCTATTTGTTGCCTATTTGTACCGAAGTGTTGAAAGAGCCATATTATATTAGCAGGAAACGATGTAGCAGAGTCAATCTATTTTAATGTTGCCATGGGGTGGCAAGTCCCCATACATCGTAGTCCGATAGTTTTACTGCCTCATAATGTAAAGCTTATACATTTATGTCAAAGTTTTATCCTAGCTTTATACTTTTACATATTTTTAAGATTTTAGATAGTTGTCCTTCATGCAGGACAAATGATATCAGACTTTCCTTTCTTATTTCTTACCTGCTCACCATTTTACAAATCCATACAAGACAGTATACAGTAGTCAGTCAATTTTCCGCAATAAATCAAGCCAATTATGATGGCAAAACCTGGTGCAACTGAATTAATAATTACCAAAGTAATTACATCGTGTCTTACCTTGCCAAATATGGTGACATTGACGGATCCTTTGAGTATGATATACCAGCTCTTTCCCTCGTCACCTTGTTTTATCACTGTAACCATGGTAACGTGTTAATTTTATCACTGTTACCATGGCCTGGTAACGTATCAATTACTGTATGCATCAGTACTGACAGCTGCAAAACCATGCACATGAGTATGCATACAAATATAAATTAAAAGCACTTCAATCCCCTAACCATTTTAAACAAACATTATGCTTGGGATAAAGTTCTGATATTCACAATAATAATCGTAATAAAAGGCCACGTGACGTAATCACAACATCATGTGACGTCATCACAACACCACGTGGCGCCATCACAACATCACGAGACGTCATCACAACATCACGTGACATCATCACTTACAAACGGTCCCAGCTCCCTCACGACTCTCGAACTGGATGCAGGAGGCAAGTTCGCGTTTAACAGAATTGGAGAGATGTGACAGAGCCTTTATGTGGAGCAGTTCCTCGTAGATGTAGTCCAAGTCTTCTGCTGTCCGCTCTTTTGGCCTGGAAATTGAGAGATTGTTGAAAAGTTCTAACTTTCTAAGGGTAGTCTTTAGATGTCTGTCTCCAAATTCTATTGTTAGATTTAATCAGATACACAAGGGGCTCTAATTGGGAGCTCAGAAGTAGATGAAGGATCTTAAGTCAATACTTATAAAACATCAGTGATATTGCTGTTCCTGGACAGCAGCTGATTAAAACCGATGACTCATAAAAAAACCCGAACAAAAACCCGTTTGATTTGACACGTGACTTATTTAAAGTTGCAACCAATCAAATACGCGGAGTAGTTGTCACGTGTCAAACAACAACAGTTATTCCCAGCAGTACTCTATAAACCCAATAAGTCGTGTGAGGATTGCCAGCCGGTGGTACACATAGTTCTGATCCGCTAAGCTTAGAGTGGAGGTGGTTTCCATCGAGTTACGTGATCATAGCTTAGTGGAATTCAGGTTAGCAACATAGATCTGGTAGTTTGGTTCTTGGTTAGGGGTGTAACCACAAACGCAAACACCAAAATCTATTTGAATTCGATACTTAAGTAAAAAACGAACCAATAAGTCAGCAAATCCTTTATCTTCAAATGATCTTATAGCATTGGTTCACCACGTGACGTTATCACAATATCGCGATGACAAAATCCATCTAAAGATTTAAAAGAGTATTTATTCCTTTGGGAAAATGCAATTTAATCTGGCTCCTACAATTTATTAAGTCAGAAGCCACAAACCCAGATCATACAATCTTAGTTCCGAACCGAGCAGTTATAATCTGAAAACCATCGTTAAAAAGTCGGACTATTAAAGTACTAAAGATGTTGTTAAGCAGATATTTCAGACGTTCTCTCAATAACAATTGCCACCTGCACTTTAACTCTAAAAACAAAGTGTGTTTTAAAGCTTGAAATTAATATTGGAGTGCAAGAGATTAATACCACGTCACGTGGTAACCACGTGGTAACCACGTGTCATCTCACATCAAACATCACGTCTTGGCATCACGTATCAAACGACACGTGTACGTGGTATCACGTATCAAATACCACGTGGTAATTGGTAGATCACCGATCACGTATCGAACAACACGTCATTATGTCAACAAACACGTGGTTATTCTCTGTAGTACCTCATATTGCTTTGGACAACAGGTAACAAAACTACAGTAGGATCATGTCAGAGAACAAAACCGAAAGGCTAACCCGACCCTTAAATAGATAGGGAGCGATAGAGTTACCAAGCTAGTGCAGTCACTGGGGAGTTAAAACCAGGTGTAGGGATCGCTCATTGGCTATCAGTCACATGACACATACCAACCAATCAGGAGACAGCAAATGACAGAGATCAGCCAATCAGAGCACGCGAAATGAAGGACGTCAGATCCACAGAATTGTCTGCATGGTTACCGATTCTATTGATGTAGCCAGGGAGCAGATTCTGTAGCTATGGTTACATTACAGTTGCTATGGTATCATTGCAGCCTGTGGTCAGTACCAGTGTCAGTGTATTGTCACCTCAAGTCGCGCTCACAAATCTAATGTTATGCTATACTACACCTGCACGCACAAAAATGTACTTTGGGGCCCTTTTTATTTTTTAACCAGGCTGACTTTTCAGCGGATACATAAATTACTGAGCGTTCATCCTGAATCAAGCATCGATATGAGGACATCTTTTTCGGTTGAGATGTGTAGAAATAAGAATAAAAAACAAACTTTTTCCATAAAAACTACTGAACTGTCTGCAACAAGACTGACTTCATACAAAATATTCAAATGCGTCAAAAGGCGCACAAGAAATTACATGCGTTGTAAGCATAATTGGTGACAAGACTTATAAGTTAATTACCTAACAGATACTTAATTAAAACATTATTGCAACCAAGTATTATTAGATCAGATATACGTTGATTATAATTATTCGATTTATTTAATCATATTATGTGATATATCTCATCAGGATTTGTTGCAATTGGAAGATTTCTATTTTTGGAGTTAAGGTATACATTTTCAGAATCATGCTGGTCCGGTCGGTAAATCCGACCCTGATGAGTGACGGGACTGAGATTATTAAGACATTTTTTTCTTAAATATTTTGAAGGCTTAATAATACCCAGTATACAGCTACCAAAAAAGAAACCATAAAACTAACGGTTTTCTGAGCATGAGTCTCATGAGAGCGTCAGGTCCCATCTTAGCCAATGTGGTGAAACACTCTTGTAGGAGCACGGAATCTGAAACAGACAACAGTCAAATGGTATTAGTAATCATAACTATTAACTAGTAATAAAATATTTCAAATTGAATAGTTAACATTTTAACTTATGTCTTGGTTACTCGAGATACCATATAAAATGACCGATGAATAGTCTTTCAAACCTTTTTGGTGTACAAAACATTTCGCAGCCAAGTTTTAACTATCGTTTCTGCTATACTACGATAAATGGTACATTCCAGGTACTAACTAGCGAACAAAGTTTCAAGTCTAAATAAATCTCACCAGCTAAAGGTACGCTGGCCCCGGGTGGGCCCTGTTCCGAACCACAGTCGTCCTCTTTAAATCGGTAAAAGAGGTTCTTGTCCTCGAAGTTGTACTCGTTACACACTGAAAGAGGAGCAAGTTTTGGAAACCAGGAGCAAGTTTTGTAAACAAGGAGCAAGGCGCTAACTTTGTAAACGAGCTCTAATTGCACGCCGAGGCAAACGAATGCGGTCAGATGTTTTTCTAAAGAAATTCAGGATCATATTTCTCAAGATTGGGCGGGTTTTAGTGAGGAAGCAATTAACCTCAGTAAATCTGTCAGGTTCCGAATAAATTGGGATATATACCTTTGTAAGGAAGCTGATTCAAAATATTTATGGTTTAATATGATATGTATCGATATACGCAAGCTCATTCCGTTGAATTTGATTTGTTTTATAAAACAAGTTATATTTCGTGTCTTCGAATGAGTTTCGAGGAAGTAATCAAATCAGTTATCTTAATATTCTTGAATAATTGATAATTGTACTTAACGCTGATCATTACCAGAAGTTTAAGATAAAACACTAGATTGAAGATTGGTAAAAAATCTGCTATAACATTGGTAGTGGTACTTGCTATGGTGGTTCAAATCTAATCATCTTACTGTAATGATGATAATTATATTTGACAGTTACAATGGCTCAGGAAGTGCAAGTGGAGTGTAAGTCGTAACGTTTAAAATAAGTTAATAAAATGCTGGTCCAGTTACGTAGACCGATGTGGTTGAAGTTGTATAACGGTATAAATTTCACTGAAAGGCAGCGGTGCTCTTTTCTCAGTGCCATCCCTACATCTTGTGAAAGTGAAAGTGAAAGTAACGCACCATGTTTAAGAACTCCCTCCTCTAAGAGGACCTGCCACATTCCCACTCCCTGCTGTCTGCTGTGTACCAAGTTACACTCCTGGATTATCCAATCCACTAGCTGTGAGCCAATACAGCATCTGAGGTGAGAAAGTATGAAATTTGTGAAGCTGAAATATAACTAATTATTTAATAACTACTAATTGATTTATCTTAACAATTTCTGTTTATTATCAGTTACTTATGTTTCTAATAAGTAACATCAATGATGGATTATTATACCTTCTGTAGGTCCTCAAGCTGATCTGTCTGTCGGCGATGATACCGGGAAAGTTAGTGAGTAGACCCGCTCTTATCTGCTGCCCGATAAACGTTATCTTATCACTCAGATTCTGGGGATATTTATGTGAAATATGTGAAATATGTGAAATATGTAATGAGTTATAGATCAAATGTGAGTGTTTCCAACGATGCAAAGTGATCAACTAATATATGTTAGGAGCTTTTTATAAACGAGTACATCATATATATCTATCAACTGAAGAAAAGAGCCGTATATAAACAAAGAAACAAACTAATACTGATTTTTTAAATTGAATAGACAATTAAACTCACAAAGTAATCGATGGAGCTAGTACGCTCGACACATTTAATGACTCTCTTTATCTTTAGATCATGGAAATCAACGACCCCATAAAAATTGGCAGAGCTTTTTCTAATGACTGGTTTTGGGGTTGTCATCCCAACGGGAACTTGGTCACCCTGGATACCCATTTTGGTGGGATTAGTCCAACGTGCTATCTTGGTGTCTTTATAGATGGTTGCTAAGACGGTTGCTAAGACGGTTGATAAGACGGTTGTTCAGACGGTTGCTATGGTCTACGTATTGTGGACGGGAGGAGACGCGGTGTGATTCATTTTACCTGAGTTATCATAATAACAAAAAACTCATGTCAAACTAGTGTTTATATGATATCATATATTACTAATTGCATAGTTAGAAATTAAACTACTCTTAGTACCTCACTAGGAATTAACTTGAAAGATACCAAATAACAATTTAAGAATTTGAGCTCAATTTAACATGCAAGCCTGTTTTAAATAAAGAAGCCTGAACAAAACTTCGCATGTAACCCACTATAAAATGTAGCGCCACAAACTTTTCAACAACTCTAGATTATTTAAACTGTCACCTTTGAACCATTTAAATGTATGTATAAGTAACCAAGTTAGCGTACAAGGAACATTCGCATGTTTAAATGTAACCCACAGCAAAACAAAGTAGTAAGTTTGCTTAAATAAATAAAAACAGTTTTAATTAAGGTCATGGTTTATAACACATCCGGTCCTAAAGTCATTAAACAATGTAAATGGTAAAGACACTAAAGACATGTAAAATAAGGCAGGCTCACACCGGAATAAGAACAATGACAACAATTAAACTCAATAACACCTGTATGTATACAGTCCTCACTTAACAGAGCGAGACTTTCCCGTGACAACTGAATAACTTCAAGTGTAGACGCTGTCTCGCCCTCTTTTCAAGTGTAAACACTCATGTCTCGCCTTGTCTTATAATTGTCGTATCGTAAGTAAATCTAACTACTTTTAAATAGGTGCTCTCTCATTGAAAGAGGTAGAGGTACCTAAAGCATGTGAATGGAGCTAACAGTTAGCACGAAATGTAACAGTTAGCACGAAACGAATCTGGTCTAGTGAGACTCTACTAAGCTGAATCTGGTCTGGAGAGAAACCTAAAAATTTAAAATAGACCACAGAGACCATAACTTATTATACAGGCCATGCTGTGTTGATAAAGCCATTGGAAACGTGTTTAACAGAAATATTGGCAGCTTTCCAACAAAAAAGGCAATATTAAGGGAACTTATGGGTGAGAGTATATTCAGCAACGTCAGGTTAAAGGTTTAGCAAATGAGGAATGGAGGCTATCATAATAACAATGTTCTAGGTTAATCAGCTGGTGCCTGGAATGACAGCCATGACCCGGTAAAAACAAAGAGTCCTTATTAAAACTGGCTAAATTGTGGGATAATAATACTGTAGTCTATTATGAGCATTACTGGGGATGTTGTTTAACTGTGTTTAATGTTAAGTACCATAACCCAGTGCTTCTACTGGTTCTGTTCCAAGTGGGAAGATTGTAACGAGACTTTGTGAGACTTTGGGAGACAGAAGTCTCACAACTACGATGCTCTCACTTGAGCACTACCCGGCAGAGGCAACATATAATAAGTGCGGCAAAATTTTGCGGAAAGTGCGATCCCGCACTTCCTAAAATGGCTCCCTAAAATGTGCGGCAAGCGTGCAGCAAATTTGGTCAAAAGTGCTGCTCGAGTGCGGCGAATATAAATTACGAAATGTGAGGCGAATTTTGTTCAACTATGGAAAGCTGATCAAACATTAGGGAGCCCCACATAATTACGTCATCAAGGTTTTGGTCATTTCTATCCGGAATAATCCGGATCCCCCCTCCGTCAGCAAATTTCAGCATTAAGCGACCCCTCCCCAAATTTCAAAGTTAATTGATTTGAGACTTAGATTTTGTGGAATTAACCTGCAGATAAATAAATCTCGGAGTTTTGATCTAAAAATAAAGTTGCGACGAATACTATATTATAATCCGCTAAGGATTGCATACTACTCACTATTTCATTACATATAATCATCGTCGACAACTTGCACTTTGTGCAAGTTTTGAAAAGTTATTGATGAACGAAGAAGCCGTCCTATTTATTGTAATTATACAGGATTCTACGTCTAAGCTCTGGCATAAAGCCACAGACCCTCAGCTCATACATCTTGTGGAATTAACCTTCGGTTGGGAGGGAGTAAGATTAGTGCATATTAAATAAATCTGCAAAATCTTAAAATAAAGTTGCGACGAATACTTGATTACAGTCCGCCCTGAAGAATGCATATATTCATTATTTCATAGCATATTATCCTCGATAACTCACTTTCTTAGGGTAAAGATAATAATGAACGACGCGATACCGTCTTATCTGTAATTATACATGATGCTACGACCGAGCACTGGCATAAAGCCACAGACCCTCCTAAAACTTGCTCACCCTTCAAAATATTAACGGCTTTTCCTTTTTATTTTCTGAACCATTCTTCGTAGCATTTGCGTCTATCGTTATGATCGTACGATTTTTGATTGAATAAAGTTTGCTTTTGTTTCACATCTGATATAATAAATATCATATGCATTTTGCTTATATATATAATAACTTTTATAATCGAAAGAGCACATAAAGAGGCTCTAGGTAAAGTGCTGGCCTATTTACGTTTTCTTAAACTCCTCCGTTCAATATGTCTAATAGTAAATAAACTCCTCCATCCTAGTCTATTCCTTGCTAAGTTCACTAAGTTGGTAAAATCGTCCTCGTTTTTGAAATAAATATTTCTCTTAAATACATCCTTCTCTTAAATAAATCCTTTTTGCATTTTGCTTGATAGTGATTATCTCGAATGTTTTACAGGCTTTCATGTCGTAAGCTTCATATTGTGTTTTCCTTCATGTCCAAATACATTCTCGTTCATAGTTGGTTCGTGCACACTTTACGCACTTTTAAAACACAACGCACTTACGGCACGGAACGACCTAAATTCACGCACTTTTAGGTTCCTTTAAGGACTTTTTACCAAATAAACTTATACAGTAAACATACCATCGGCCAGAACATACAGTATATATTATACTGTAGTTTTTTTACATCGTGTTGGTTCGTTTTAATCTTGGCTGATTGCAGTCGGGTATAATTCTCAAAATTAATTTACTGTCCACTTACTATATAGTATGTTAAAAGTATAAAAACACGTTAAGTCTTAAGAAGCTATAGTAACTTAGTAAGTTATAAATATGATTCATCAAACAAATGAATACTAGTATTCGATCATGAATTGCTTCAAAAATGATTTTATAAATTTACATTAAAATTTTAAAAATGTTACAAACGTCGAAAGACGAACGTTAGGTAAGGTAAGTGATATTTATACTAACATACTATTACTTATGTTATACATACGAGTAAAATTAGCCCGAGAAAAACTTACCACCCCTCTAGACCAGGAAGACGAAGAAATTGAGTTGTAATTTTTCAAACTTTATATTTAATTTTACTAATTTTCTCAAATATTAGGTTTTCAAAATAAAGAAATGAAAAAATTCCCAAATACCATTATGTAATTTGGGGTACGAAATTTTGCGGTTTTTGGAAAAATTTCCCATATTTTCGTTCCCACATCATTTAGGTCACCGGAATTATGTCGAATATAAATAATAATATGTCTCGTAAGGTATGTTCTCGATACGTGCCAAGGGAAGGGAGACTCTTAGCTCATAATCTTGTGTAGCACTAAAATTCACTTGGAAACCAGTAGAGTAGTAGAATAATCATAACTATCGACAGCATTTTAATGAAATCTAGCGAGATGTCCGTAGAGCAGTTTGTAGAGATCACTGCGCTTCATAAAATCCATGGTATACTGGCTGGAAGGTTATATTATAGCACTAGGACTGCTGGAAGCGAATTAGAAGTGCTGGATCAAGTATGACAGGTCTGGGAAGCGTCGTTAACGTTAACCTTACTTCAAGCTGTCGTGATCTAGTCGAGTTCAACTGTAATATGACAGAGTTAACTTGCTTACCTCAATATTATAACAGACTGACACTACGCATAGCTGACAGTGACACTTTAATAATTTCTATTTTTTTATCAATTATTATACATCTAGAGAACATCAGACTAGAAACTCAAGAGTGTGATTACTTAAAACAGCGGCACTGCTACTATACTGCTACTATACTGCTACTATACTGCTACTATACTGCTACTATACTGCTACTATACTGCTACTATAGTCTATACTGCTACTATACTGCTACTATACTGCTACTATACTGCTACTATACTGCTACTATACTGCTACTATAGTCTATACTGCTACTATACTGCTACTATACTGCTACTATACTGCTACTATACTGCTACTATACTGCTACTATACTGCTACTATACTGCTACTATACTGCTACTATACTGTTACTATACTGCTACTAGTACTTTACTGCTACTATACTGCTACTATACTGCTACTATACTGCTACTATACTGCTACTATACTGCTACTATACTGCTACTATACTGCTACTATACTGCTACTATACTGCTACTATACTGCTACTATACTGCTACTATACTGCTACTATACTGCTACTATACTGCTACTATACTGCTACTATACTGCTACTATACTGCTACTATACTGCTACTATACTGCTACTATACTGCTACTATACTGCTAGTATACTGCTACTATACTGCTACTATACTGCTACTATACTGCTACTATACTGCTACTATACTGCTACTATACTGCTACTATACTGCTACTATACTGTTACTATACTGCTACTATACTGCTACTATACTGCTACTATACTGCTACTATACTGCTACTATACTGCTACTATACTGCTACTATACTGCTACTATACTGCTACTATACTGCTACTATACTGCTACTTTACTTACACAACCGTGACCGCAGTCAGTTTAAATAATAATATCAGGGAATCTGCATGAGAAAATCTGAGGCATTTCAACACACACTGACCTTACTATCAAAATAAAAATGGCACTTTTTGAGCAAAAAGAAGGGATCATTCCAGGATTCCGTGGTATCCCTGCCACCTAAAGTAACCTGAAGTAACCTAAAGTAACCTAAAGCAACCTAAAGTAACCTAAAGTAAGTAAGTAAAGAATGATTGGTTACCAGGTATCGAGCCTTCATCATCTTTAAAAAGCACGACAAGTAAGATTTGGAGGTTATGTAACAGCAATCATTCCACAAATTAACCAAGGCAGCAAGAAACGATCAAATCTATCAAAACAGGGACAGTTTTATCATAATTAGAGCTTAACCTATCAATATGAACTCAGTGACCATGTGCCATGTGGTAACGAACGGGAACTACAGATTGATTGACATTGATTACAGAACTACACAAGGGAAATTCACCGCGAGTCATGGCGCAAACTACGTAACCATGGTAACGTACAAGAACGCAAGAAATGTCAAACCAAGGAACACGATCGGTTTCATCGCCGACTGAAAACAAAAAACACGTGTCTCAAATCTTATGAATTTGATTGGCGGAGAGGAAAAACAAAGCTCGCTGATTGGTAGACAGCGTGCACGTGACAATGTGAGGTGTTGCTAAGCAGCAGCTGACAACACTTCCCTTATCAATATTTGGCTGGTGCACGCGCTCCACGGCGGAGACCGCTCTAACTAGACAAGGGGTTTAACATTGGGTACTGAATACTGATGAAGTGTATTACTTGTTGCTCTGTCATATCAAACTTGTACATCTGGATATGAGTGATGTATCTGGTGTTAAAAAGTTAAAAACAACGTTGAAAATAATAAGAATCTGTAAATTTGCAGGATTAGATTCATTAATTGTCTTGATAGACTTTTAAAATTAAAAGTAAGCGGTTAATTTTCAAGCCTCAAACCATAAATCCTTACTATACAGGAAATGACGCAACCCAAAATAGTGGTGATAGATGTTTTAACGTGTAACCACTATTTTGGGTTGCGTTATTTTTATGGTTTTATGGTTTGATACAAAATGTGATACAAAATACAAAACTAGCACTAGCAGTGAAAAGTATTCAAAATTAATGACGTCACCAAAAAGCCAAAGGGCAAAGACTATGTTTAAAAATTAAAATATTTAAATTAATAACAATGACATATTATTGTTATTAATTCAAATAATTTAATTTTTCATTATTATAATAACTACACTTTCGACCTATTTGACAGCCACCTATTATTTTTATAATCGCATCGGCTTTTTTTCCAGGGAGTGCGATTAAAAAACTAATTGCACTGTTTTGAGAGTTAGATTAGCGTATATAACAGTATTATTACTTAATTAATTTTACATAACAGAATCTATAATTTAATGAAGCTTAGCAAGGTCCAAGGAGCTTTACGTTTATTACAGGGTGAATTCCACACCAAGATACATTCCACATAAAGATCTGAATATTTAATAATAGCCTTTGCCTTTGAGACCGTAAAATTCAAGCAGGCGTCAGGATTACTAATTCACAAAAACACAATTGTAACGACAAACTTATACGAGCCAAAAACAAAAACTACTCATTTCATTGAAATTTAAATCATCGAATCATATCTTAGCTAGGGCTTTTCAAACTCAAATCGGAAGAAAATGGATGAGTGGACGATTTTCTGCAAAAAAAGCTGCAGAATGTAGAGCAATGTAACGTGTACTAACCCGATTAAACTGGCTTATGGTTAGCGACCAAACTACGACCAGTTAATAAGAGTATAAATTGATTTATTCCCAGCACTATTTTACACCTGATAAAGAAATAAGTTGAATATTACTGCTTCACTTATGGAGGATAATTTCATTATGTAATATTTTGCCTATTTAAAAAGCTAAAATTATGTGCAACGTAGCTGTCCGATTTTTTAGATTGGCAGATCAGAATCGGCACAACTTCCCCAGAAAATGTCAGAACGAAACGAAACTTTGAAACACCACAGTAATCATACGAGACAAAAACAAAATGAAATAGTAGAAAAAGGTAATCCGTAGTACACTCGGTAATTTTAATTACTCTAAATTATGCATAACATTTCCCTGGAAGTTAATTAGAACTTAATGTGACAATTATAGTGCGTGTAGTGATAATTTTGAGACAATTAAACCCAAACACACAGAGATAATATGTTATTTGAACTTTGAAGGGAAGGATATAATAAATTGATTGCCTTGGCTTGGTTGTCTAAGTTACTTTACAAATGTTTGTTTATCTGATCGACTACCAAGTGAATGTGTTATATCAGGTTAAAACTTAACTTAAGAAATGCTCCGACTGACTCGCCCATAATAATCACGTGTCTAGATAACACACTGACTCACCTTACTATTATAAAAATACTAAGGGTTGCTAGGTTACTAAAAAACTCACCTTGCTATTAAGAGACAAAGGATTGCTAGGTAACGTAGCTGAAGGGGAAGCAACAGGGGAGGGTGGTTTTATGCTGGAGCTGAAGAGTCTGGACATAAGTTCACTGTTACTCTTCCAAACCTGGAAGGAGTCCAAGTAATTCCAAATTGTAGAGGGGGTAACTTAGTTACTTACCGACAAATAACGCTGTAAAGTAATTAATACTAAGGTTACGTGAATTATAAAGTTTATTGACACATATTTCATTTATTGAAGTAAAAACGTTGATGAAGTAAAATTAGTTTTAGAATTTAAACACTTCATTAATCATTTCCCGACCTTTTATGATTTAATGAAGTCCCCCAAAATACACGATCTAAAACAAACCTTGAGCAAATCATTTCTTTCAACTCTCAGAAGTTCCGTGTACTCGCACGTGATCACAGTGGCTCGACTGTAAAATATTATTTAATAACATTGTTACTTGTAAATACCACGTCATCTGATCCGGTCAGATTTCAGTACTTATCACGAGCTGAGAACTTGAGGGGCGAACAAAATGATATGTTCTGTACATGTGCATATAATTCAAATTATATTTGTATGACATGTAATATATTATATAATAGTATATAATATATATATATAGATATGTAATGCATATTAAACAAGTTAAGGGGGGCCGGGGGGGGGGGGGGGTTCACCCCGATTTTTTTGTGAAACTTAATTTCGAGATAGCATTTGACCAACCAACTAGGACCGGTGACCGAATTTTTGAGGGGGTCCCGGACCCCAACCGCCAAACGGTGCCCGGGGGGCAGCAACGCCCATATTTGGTCCAAATTAGGCCCAATTTAGCCAAATACCCTGAACATGCCCAAAACCCAGATTTTAGGTGCTCTACTTGTAGCTAGTGGTCCCCTAAACTCGTATATGAATTTTAATCAAGATTGGACAACAAATGACTGAGTTATGAGCCAAAAACTATATGCCCATATTTGGGCATACGCACTAAATTTGATCGATTTTGGCCCATAAATTGGTCAAATATCAATATTTTGAATGAAACCAACTTTATATGGAAGGTAAGCCTATACTACACATTCTCTATGATTATCAGCTCAATATCTACCTAACTGTGGATTCTGTATTCAAATAATCGCAAAAAATGAACAAAATCGCCCATATCTCAGTTCGCGATATTTGCAAAACTGACTTCGCTCAAAACAATAGAACTCAATAGGGTTTCAATATTTTTTTATGAAATTTTTTTTAGAATCGACGTAGAATCGCCTCATGACCTTAAGTTTTGTATTATAATTTTGAGTTAGGCCTTTAAAAAAATTTGGCGGCCAAATTCTGAAAAATGCCCGGCAAATTTCAGAATTTTGCCGTCTTGATTAAAATTCATATACGAGTTCAGGAGACCACTAGCTACAAGTAGAGCACCTAAAATCTGGGTTTTGGGCATGTTCAGGGTATTTGGCCCCCCCCCCCCCCCCCCCCCCTTAAGAACCGACTCTTAAGCCGGTTGAGCATGTTAAGGTTTACCGGGGAGAATTGTCCAGGACTGATTCTCCAAACGCCGCCCCAACACCTAGCGTACAGACTGTAACAGCATTCTGGGGGGTAATTGAGTAATTAGTAGAGTAATTAATTGGATAATTAGTACTAAGTAGAGGAATTTATAATTAGGTAATTAGTGGGTTGATGAGATGTTTAGATAGAGAATAAGTTGATTTAGTAGATGATTTGAGAGATATCTTATGATAGATAGAGATGAGCAATACAATTAGAAATAAATGATCCTACAAACATTTAATGTATTATAGTAAATAGTGATACGGCAATACAAAATCTCCCGATTTCTTGATCAGGACCCCGACAAGATTTTACATTCTTCCTTACAGTAACAGTTAACACAGTGTCATTACAACTCTCGCGGTGTTCATTAAGGAAATCATCCCTTATTATCCTAAGAATTACTTCTGTACAATTGAATAATGGCTGAAGCCTGAACATGATCTGAGCTGGTATTAGATAAATTTAGAGAAATTTAGATAAATTTAGACAAATTTAGAGAAATTTAGAGAAATTTCTCTAAAAATCATCTCACAACTTCAGTGTTTAATGTTTACTAATTATAAAAACGATAACATTACAAAGTTAATTAAAACTCTAGTTTGGGCGACCTTTTTCTGCATGATTAGTGGTCCGAAATTAAGTAAATTTGGAAATACTGCTGAGAACTAATTAAAATGGTGTTGCATTTGGACACGAAAGGAGACACAGTATTAGGCTTGAATCCTTTTTAAATAAACGTTACAACTTTATATTAGGTTCTTCCTCCAGACAGATTTGATTAAGTCCGGACTGGTACTGAGTGCAAACACATTGGTGCAGATTTTTATGGGTAATTTATTATGAATGAATAATATCCTTTGAATATGAGGAACGAACATGATAAGAGGTTGCTAGTTGCTACGAACCTAGTAATAATATTTCACATTCCTAAATTAAGTCGAAAACATAAAATCTAGTAAGCATTTATATTGCCTGATGGGTATATTCATTTTGTTCAGTAGCACACTAGTGCAGTTGTGCCATTTCTCTTCTTTTTAGTGCTACCTACAGTGTACTATCATATTGAACATAGTAGAGCATTTCGATTTGAACAGTTTATTTTCATCATTTACTACAAAATTAAAAAAGCGGATAAAGAAGATTTCTCTTAGTATCACACGACTAACTCTTTTACTATGGAGTTAATTTCGCAACTATAAGTATGTGTATGAAAAGTTCACTAACAAATAAAAATCCCAGCCAGGATGGATCATTTTCAACTCTGCTGCGTAATCCTTACTCTGACCTCCCTGCTTCACTTTACAGCTGGAAGTACGTCTATTGAGTTAAGCAGACATAGTGTGCTGAAATTTGGTGACACAGCCAAGGATTATATTAGGTATAAACCCGATATGCAGCCATTTGAGAGAGCGTTTACAATCTGCGCCTGGATCAAGAAGCTGCGGAGTGCATATACACCAAATTGGTTTTCTTACGCTACCTCTAACGCAGGGAAAGAGATTCAGATAACTGATAACGGATACCAATTCTATATATTCGGGGAGATCTCTGATCTGACGAGCAGTTACACCGTGACCCCTGGCACGTGGTATCATAACTGCGTATCCTGGTCTGCAGCATCCCAGACCCGCAACCTGTACATTAATGGTGTACTGGTTGACTGCAAGGCAACATCAGCTGGCAGGACACTAGGACAGGGTGGGTACGTGGTATTTGGTAACGAGCAGGACAATTACAATAATCTAGCGGATATGGATCGCGACAATAAGTTTGCAGGCGAAATGTTCCAACTAAATGTGTTTAGCACTATGTTGTCTACCTCGGAGATACGGGAGATGGCTAGCGACATGTGCTTTAATCTTTCAGAGGAGAATTATGGAGCGAAGAGACACATCAGATGGGAGGGTATTATACAACTCAGTAGGACCGGCAATGTGGTGGAAAAAGCAAATGGATGCCCAGAACTAGAGGTAGTCGACAAGGTCATGCTGATAAAACTCAAACAGATAGAAGGCAAACTAAATGAAACCCTCTCCCAACTAGCAAGTGTCACAGCATTAAAAGAACAACTCGATCAGACGGAAAACAAATTGAACCAGATCCTGAATGAACTGAAACATGCTACAACTAACAGTGAAAAGATGGATGAAAATTTGATGAGACTCTTGGAGAACTGGCAACAGCTAAAGCAGACAGTGAAAAGATGGATGTAAAGTTGGATGAGACTCTTGGAGAACTGGCAACGGCTACAGCCGACAGGAAAGAGATGGCAGCCCAATTGGATGAGAACCTTGGTGAACTGTCAACTGCTACGGCCGACAGTAAAGAGATGGCAGTCCAATTGAACAGGACCGTTGGTGAATTGGCAACTGCTTTGGCAGACAGTAAAGAGATGGCAGTCCAATTGAACAGGACCGTTGGTGAACTGGCAACTGCTTTGGCAGACAGTGAAGAGAAGGCTCTCAAATTAAATGAGACCCTGGTTGAACTAGCAACGGCTACGGCAGACAGCGAGGATAAGGCCCTCAAACTAAATGAGACCCTCAGTGAACTAGCAACTGCCAGAGCAGACAGTAAAAAAAGGGCAGTCAGATTGAATGAGACCATCAGTGAACTGGAAACTGCTAAAGCATACAGTGGCAACTGCTAGATCGGACTTCAAAAAGATGGCTTTCAAATTCAATGAGACCATCGACGAGTTGGCGGCAACCAAACTAGAACTGGATAAAGTGGCAGAAGAATTAGAAGGAGCAGTGAGCTCCACCTCGGAATGCCGGCTAAATTCCACCATAACAAGTCCTTACGACTTCCTCTACTCTGAGCCCTTTTACGAAGAAATTCTAACCATGGACAGACTTGCTGTATTTCGCACAAGTTTGAAGAAGCTAGGTAAATTAACATAATTCCAAGTTTGAATTATTTTTTTAAAAACTCGACTCGTATTTGGGGGGGGGGGGGGCTCGTATTTGGTCAAATGGGCATGAGCATTGAGCATTGATGGGCATCGGCATAATTCTAATATAAGGATGTTATTAAAGCTATACATATAACAAGGTCCCAGTATTTTATCCTCTTTCCCATATAACTTATATTCAACAAAACCAATTTTTCAGAACAATTTGTTGGGGTACGAATCAGCAGTAGAATCATAGAGTTCTTCAAACTGCATGCACGACATGTGAAATGAGCCTGAAAGGCATAGGGAACATATTATACTGATTATACTCATAAACAGTGAATATTCCATGAACAATGATAATATATTAACGCTTCAACCAAAAATTCTTTTCAGCCGTATTTTGAATTTTCCAAAGTTAAATTTAATTTTAAAGCATTGTTGTGGTAATGAATTTTAGAGTTTTATACTTCATTTAATTTAATCTATTTGATTTAATTGTCTCTGAACTATAGAAGATCTGGAACTATGATGAAATTTATATTTGAAAATTTATGAAAATACGTGGCCCGTGATAAGTGATTGGATGATATTGATAAGAAACTGAAAAGATGCCGAAACAAATGAGGTCGCAACACCATGACATATAATGATTAAATTGGCTGTTCAAAAGTATGACTTGCTATTGGGCACCACCTTAAGTCAAACAATAATACTCATAAAATTGAGATGGTGTACTTTTCAGTGATCTGTGATAACAAAACTCTAGACGATCAGTATGCTGATTGCTGACAATAAATTGTAAATTTATACAGGGCAATTATAGAATAGCAAGCTAGTTAATAATATAACCGACTGAGCTGGTTCCGTAAAGAGTTCACACCTCATTTCGTAAACTTAAAATATTGGAACAAGGCAAAATCAGAGGCATGAGCACACAAACACACAAACACACAAACATACAAACATACAAACATACAAACATACAAACATACAAACATACAAACATACAAACATACAAACACACCCACACACGCACACACGCACACACACAAACACAAACACACAAACACACAAACACAAGCACACAAACAAACACACAAACACACAAGCACACAAGCACACAAGCACACAAACAAACAAACAAGCACGAAAACACATGATAGTGTCCTAGAGGCGTATATTGTACAGTAAACAGTTACTGTACGACATAACCGCTGTTTTTATGTGGACTTCTATTGCTTTGCTGGTGGTTCAATACCACTTTTTTCACAGATCAGCCAGGTGAAATGTCAAGAATAAACATCTTCATTGACTCAAATAAACCATTATTATTAGTGAAACAGCCAGTGTGCGACCCACCCTGCCACTTCCATGGCATGATGTTTGAAGACGTTTAACGGTACTCCACAAAATGTATTTTGACTTCCCCATATTCAACGCAAAGCGGGCACCTTTACCAAGGTTATCTCATAGACTCAAATATGTTAACACTTTCATAGACATTTCGTCTTACAATGTTACACTCCTTGCTTTTACATTTCTATGGGCCTAAAGTTGCGTAATTTATATAATATGACTTATAATCGTAAGTTGTGTGACTATAACAATTATCACTCAATCTGTTTTATGTTTTCATAGACAGTAAATCGAGTAACTCAAGGAATTTGCGAGGTAACAAACATCGAGGATTAATGTCCATTGAACCAATCGGTCTTTTATAGTGCCGTGCGACAGAATTCGTTTTCAATTTAGAATTTGTATGCAAAGTACTCTATGAAGTAAAGGAACTGCAAGATAAAGTGATACTTGGGGGTGACACAGTAAATCAATATATTTTAAGAGCTCCAGTTAAAGCTCTAGTAAAAGCTAGATCAGTCAAATTAGCTAAAACTGCTATTAACCCAACATCCATATTATTTCAAACTTGACTAAATTTCCCCAGAAAAATGACCTTTCTCGTTACAAATTTAGCTCGCAGATGGAGTTAAAAATGAGCGATTTTATAAAAATCTTTTCGACCAATAAGCTCGGACCGAAAAATTAAAAGTTCTTATTTTTGAGCTACACACATACTGATACATAACTTACATGTATTGAACGATTATCAACTGATCTAACGTCAGTTTGGGGTGGTGAGATTGAGACTAACCCCCTGTTACGCAAAGCTCTGCAGCCACAGAATAATGATATTCAACAAGACGTGGTAACTTTAATGCTGATTTTCTATTTACAGCAAGATTACAAAATAACAATCAGCTTATAATGGTTCCTCAGTTTAATGAGGTAAAAATGAGGCCAAATATAACTGCAGACACACTTGACATGATTTTTAAATTAGTACCCTATCAATAATATTTCAACACCCCATCTAAGTACGACATGATGAGTTAATTGTCCAGTGCAGTGGATAGCTCAGTTGCGTGAGACCGAAACAAGACTAACACGCTGACTTCAGTTATTATTAATACATTAAAACCCCCGATTTACCGCATTTAATACATTAAAACCCCCGATTTACCGCATTTAATACATTAAAACCCCCGATTTACCGCGGACTTTGAAGGTAAGGAAACAGCTGCGGTTAACCAGGGTTTGCATTAAATCAGGGTTTGGTTTGTTCACATTATGTTGAGCTCGATTTGGGGACGGAAATGGCCGCGGTAAATCGGGGTTTGCGGTAAATCGGGGTTTGCGGTAAATCGGGGCTTTACTGTTTTACTAAAGACAAGAAAGGTTAGTTATTTAGATAAACTGACAAATCAATAAACTGACAAACTGACAAACCGAATAACTGACAAACCTTGTCTTCCAAAAGATCAGACACGTTAACATCCAAGGACCCACTAAGGACTGCGTACCAGTTTCTACCTGTATCTGCTTGTCGATACACTGAAATATGTTAGCAGGTTATATGAGGAAGGTGAAGGGACAGTGAATAATTTGGGCAAGTCCCAAGTTCCACCATTATGTTTTGATTGGCGGAGATCTAGTGACCACGTGATACTACATTAACATATTTCATCAGCTTACTGTACTCGAGTTTACAGACTTAACGTTCTGCGGTTCTGCTAACGAAACTACAATATTAAAAACTAATGCTCGGCCTTACGAGATCTACTAAATTTTCCGACAATCTGGATTTACTACTATACTCCGCTACTATGCGACAAAGATATTGTATAAAATATAACTAAATAATTTAATCAATACGGTGCCCATGTATGAGCGGCTCTCCTCAAAAAACTTTCTCTCCTCATCGGAGCAGAAAGATAAAAACAAAACACGGGTCTCAAAAATAAATATATTTAAACTTACGTGTTATGCCCTTTTCTAAATCTTCATAGTAACCGTAGTAACAAATCTGTTGCAGTAGCGTGGGATCAAACGTTTCAAAAGCTTTAACATCCTGAGGATAAACATATATATTAATACTAATAGTTCCCGCAATAAGACAATAAATTGAAGCACAAATCTTCTTATCGTTTTTATATTATCAGACATTGACACAATTAACATAATAAGGTGTAAAGTCTAAGAGAAACTACTGTCACTGAACTAGCCAAAATGTAAAAGTTATTTGACGGAGATTTATAATCACACTTTAGTTTTTTATTTTGGCACAAGGAATTTAGAAGATCGTATTGAAACAACAAACAGGCTTCGTAAACGTATTGTTTTGTCACTCACCTTCAAGCGAGAGTAGATAATATCAAGTTCTTCACCGGATCTATCACTGGGTCTAAAAATTGTGAGTTTTAGAAACATTTCCATTCATTATGAACTTTTTTATGTAGCAGAATTGAAGTGTAATTTACCCTCGATTCACCGAAAGGTCAAGATTTAAGATTATGTTGTCAAAGGTCACCTAAAGGTAAATTAATATCAATTATTCAAATTGTTATAAGATTTAAAAATGTATGGTGAACATTTATTAATTAAGGGAGGGGGGTACAAAACGTTTGTGAAAGTTATCCGGTTCCGGTCCGGTTCAGAAAGTGCTTGGCCGGATATCAACCGGAAATTTCTATAACTTGTAGGAAGAATTGTATTTTTTTGAAAGTTTGATCTGGCGTTCTCAGGAGTCAGCCGTCAGGTAACATTCCGGGTTCTCACAGTCAGATCTTGAGACCTAAAAGCATGTCTCGAGATCTGATGGCTGGTAAAAAGGCTATATACTGAGTCCTTAGCATTATATGATCACGAGTCCAATGGCATTGGCATGAGGTGCACTAAATTGGACATTTCAAAACTTTTAGGATACGTTTTTCGATTTTCTGACATCAAGTAACCAGGCTGAACCCCTTTAATAATAATATCAAACCAACTTACCTCTTATCAAGACAAGATATCCACTCCGCCACCATAAACCTATGTGATAGTTGTCAGTGCAGTAAGAGTTGTGAAAATGGGTAAATATTAAAATTTAAATATCCTCTTATTTTTGGGGTATGCTTTGGTTTTTTATCGATATGACAATAAAATCAACTATATTATATGTAAACTATTACCATTTTTTTCTTTGAGACCCGTGTTTGTTTTAAATTTTCTGCTCCGGTAAATAATCGTAGGAATAGTGTTCGATCTTTTTATAGGCATTTCATACCAACCTATTCCAGCTATCTTACTATATTTTACTGACACCACGGCATCAACTTTAACACGACTTTTCGCAAAAACCGTAAAAGATATAAAACTGAAACTTTTTTACTTGGTCAAATGTTTTAATGGCCTTCAAATCAGCATGAAAAAATAAAAAATTGGCCAAGAAATAACAATTTTAGTGCCAAAAATTTGGACCCCCAAGTGGTGTCAAAAACGCGAATTAAATATGTAATAATTTATTTGAGTGTTGACACCACTTAAGGGTTAGACGGGTTCCTGCTAGTATATCTAATACCCAATCTATATTATAAAGTTATGTATAAAGTTTAAATGTATAAAGTTATGTACATTCTCATATTGCAAACTATTATGTCCAATGTGATAAATAGAAGCTCTATAGAACAGAGTACGCATCGACTAGACTTGAAGTCGGCTAGTCTGTATCAGCTGTTAACCTAAAAACGTGATCCGCCAGAAATAATTGGTCAGGCAGCTCCGTGTTTGTTTTTAATTTTCTGCTCCGGTGAATAATCGTAGAAATAGTGTTCGTTTTTTTATAGGCATTTTTTACTGACACCACGGCATCAACTTTAACACGACTTTTCGCAAAAACCGTAAAAGATATAAAACTGAAACTTTTTTACTGGGTCAAATGTTTTAATGGCCTTCAAATCAGCATGAAAAAATAAAAAATTGGCCAAGAAATAACAATTTTAGTGCCAAAAATTTGGACCCCCAAGTGGTGTCAAAAACGCGAATTAAATATGTAATAATTTATTTGAGTGTTGACGCCACTTAAGGGTTAGACGGGTTCCTGCTAGTATATCTAATACCCAATCTATATTATAAAGTTATGTATAAAGTTTAAATGTATAAAGTTATGTACATTCTCATATTGCAAACTATTATGTCCAATGTGATAAATAGAAGCTCTATAGAACAGAGTACGCATCGACTAGACTTGAAGTCGGCTAGTCTGTATCAGCTGTTAACCTAAAAACGTGATCCGCCAGAAATAATTGGTCAGGCAGCTCCGTGTTTGTTTTTAATTTTCTGCTCCGGTGAATAATCGTAGAAATAGTGTTCGTTTTTTTATAGGCATTTTTTACTGACACCACGGCATCAACTTTAACACGACTTTTCGCAAAAACCGTAAAAGATATAAAACTGAAACTTTTTTGACTGGGTCAAATGTCTTAATGGCCTTCAAATCAGCATGTAAAAATAAAAAATTGGCCAAGAAATAACAATTTTAGTGCCCAAAATTTGGATCCCCAAGTGGTGTCAAAAACGCGAATTAAATTTTATTAAACTGGAATTAAACAGGAATTAAACATGAATTTACCGAGGAGAACACTAACGAACTCGTTTTGGCTATACAATAAATATGTAATAATTTATTTAGTCTCTTGAGTCTTGACACCACTTAAGGGTTAGACGGGTTCCTGCTAGTATTTCTAATACCCAATCTATATTATAAAAAACGTGATCCGCCAGAAATAATTGGTCAGGCAGCTCAGCTAGTATCTTCTGTCATGGTAAATGCAAGCAACTTCACACTTATCGTACCAAAGTTTCATTCGGCGTTCGCGCGCGCGATAAACGTTCAGCAACCCAGATGGCAGCAAATCTATCAACATTAAGATCAGCGCCATACCAGGTTGTTTCGCAAATATCTAACCATACCATATATGGGATTATGGGGTCACACTACATTATAGCTATTAAGATCTGTATGTACGGTCATTACCATCGTAGTTAAAGCAGTACTGTTTGCATAAAGAGAATTGTGACATGACAATAGGTTCAGCTAAATTATAGTTGTTTCGAGAGTTCTAGCTCTGTATACTGTGCAGTATGGTATAAAGTGCTATTTATAGAACTGCAGTTTATTAAATTAAATAAACTAGATATTTAACAAAGTAGCGTGCATTAGCCAGTAAACGTATAACAAAGGCCGTATACCAAAGGCCGGCCACTCGAATGATTGAGGAGACCGTTGCAAGTAAGTACATTACAAAGTGATGCTCAAAATATTTGATAAAATGGTTTGAAATAACGGACATTTTTGACGCACTGGATCGAAGTTTGACGTCAATCCATATCTTAATTCACCGACTTTATTTGATAAAGTTGAGGAAATGTCAGATTATCCTCTGCAAGTTATCATAACTTTGGACAAATTTCAACTCCTCCATAAATTCAACCAAGTATCACAAATACCCAAACTTTGACTTTCAAATTTTAGTTACTCACTAATTAACTAATCGTTGTTTTAAGTTGTTTAAGTCTGATTCATCAAGTAAAGTCTGATTCAGTAAGTAAAGTTGTCCGGATGACAAATTATATTACAAAGACTCGATAATGCTGAAAAAGTTACCATTACCGAAGTTTCACTGTTTTGACTGAACTGTTTACCAGTGAACAATCAGTTAGGTCAGTGTGAGTGACACAAGTCACGATCGAGTTATGGGAAGCTGAATAACCCGAGAAAACTTTGATGAAAGGAAAATCGTTATAAATGTCCTTTCGATAATAGAACATTGTCAGATATCAGCATTCCTAAATTTCACTGTTTTGACTGAATTTTTCTTCGTTGACCAATTAGTGAGTTCGCTGTTAATGGCACAAGACACGATTGAGGTACCGAAAGCTAAATTACTGAAGGAATCTTTAATAGACAGAAATTATTAGGATAAAAAGACATTTTGGGAGGTATTTGAACAGTAACTTTTCTTCCATTTCCTTGACCGACATTTCACAGTTTTAACTGAATTTTTTTACCAGCGACCAATCAGTGAGATAAGTGTCTCCAACGTTCTGGAAGCTGAATATCCGGAAAGAGATCTTATGACTCAGGAGTATAACATGATATGTTTGAACTTTGAAGTCAAATTGTGTGCAGTTTAAGAATCTACTCCAAAAGAAAATGAACAATAATATGTCATAAATATTAATATTAATATTATCGTATAAATCAATAAGATGATAATATTAAAATTCAAAAATGCTCCCTGGCGGCATTTAACAATATACATTAAACAAACGACTGAGACAGTGAATAAGATTAATAAATTTATATCAGATGCAATGAGGTTGGTTTTACCAGAGTACAATTTATGGTGCAGCTCAAGACTTTGTGACCACGTGAAACTTAATACCTTATCAGCCGATTGCACTCCAGTTTATAAGGTTAAGATTCTACTAAAATCTGAACAGTAGTACTGCCAGTTAAATTTTGCTCACAATTATATACCAGCTGTATACGAGGTCGTAAAACAACAAATAACAGAGAATCTAATTATAAACTTCTGCATATGACAGAAGACGTTTATTGTAAATAACACATTTTCCCAATTGCCAAACGATCTAGATGGTTTTTATAACATAAATATAATTATATACTTGATTATAGCAACAGAGACTATCTATACTAATAGTCCCAATAAATGTGTGTGTACGTGTGTAATTTCCTAACGGTTTAATCAAGAAAACGGTAAGAGTTATGGGATTGGTTTTTTCGGTATAGTTTCGGAAAAACTCTGACGAAGCCAATAAGCAAATATTTTTTATATCGGCCGGTGGTAAGTGGTTTAAGTGATAGTTTTGTACCCCAAATGAAATACTAAAGTGTCTCACTTTTTCTCCCCCTCTCTTACACTCTAATAAGTGATGACAGTAATATTGTATTCATAATCACATCTACAGAGAATGTACAAAAACATTCCATACTAATCCAATATGTGATCTAAATATTTCGTATTACTCAAAACTATTAAATTCACTAAAAATCAGACAAATTTTAGATTCGTACAATAAGTTTTTATAGAACCAGAACTTTGTATATCATAAACATATATCCAAAAGAAACAAGTGAACTAGAAAAATATATAGTACAAGTGATTTGACAGATCTTTAGAATCACAGAAAGATTTGAGCTGCAATCCAGTTAACAGCAGTGGCTGGCGGCCACGCCAGCCACTGCTGTTAACTGGATAATATATAAGCTATATTTTGTTACCAATTATCAAGGATCACACGGTGATAAGATCATGTCACCAATTAGTGATGTATAATTAGTGATGCGATCCATCAGTAGAATTTAATTGACCTAGAAATCAAGAAATGAGCTAGATATCCGATCTGATCACCGTGGGACACCTGATAATTGGGGGCCCCTAAGTCGTGCAGCCGGTATATCACACTTTTACACAAGAGGCAATAACGAGGAAAGCTGGCAAATCTTTTTATTGAATAATATTCCAGGTTTAAGGAAATCTCAACGGTCACAAAATCACACGTCACACAACATAACTTAGTATTAGTAAACTATCTAAACAACATGAGGCATTCATTCAACAAACATCTTAGTTACGAAAGCACTTCAAAACTAATAATTACCGACCACTTTTGAAATCAGAAAATTTTCACTGCCAGACCTGCTACTAGTTTACTGATAATACTCCTGGCCATCGCTCAATTAAAGCCTTATCAGCACAACACGCACAATCACATATCATCAACGTAGCTGATCTCAACGCATCATAATAACAACCACACGCACACACACCCACTTACCACTACACAACACCACACAGAGCCCAGCAATCAATTCAAATAACGCCTAGCTGATTTTTATAGAATAACATCGTGAATCGTGATCCAGCGTGATGAATTGTTTTAATTTTAATTGAAGTTAAACGGCTGCACCCCTGACTTTTTAACTAAAGATATATTAGGACATTTGTAGTCTGATAAAATT